CCTTGTTGTCCTTGTTGTCCTTGTTGTCCTTGTTGTCCTTGTTGTCCTTGTTGTCCTTGTTGTCCTTGTTGTCCTTGTTGTCCTTGTTGTCCTTGGCGTCGCTGGAGGTGGAAGGAGTAGTCATGGTTTTCTTGGTCTTGGTGGCAGCGGTGCTGACTGGAGGGTCGGTCTTCTTGGGGGCAGTCTTGTTGGTGGGAGCTTTGGTGTCAAGATCCTTCTCGTTGATGTAGATGCCAGTGGTGAACATTGCCGATCACATGTGAGTATATGTGGAAGAGTGTGAAACACGCGTATACATACTTCTGACTGTTTCTGAGAGATCTGCGCTTGTCGTATCTTGGTAGAGTCTTGGGTGCAGCGTGGAGAGCGCTTGATTGATGATCCTTGGATGAACGTGGGAGATGCGTAGATGTTTGATGATGAGTGGCATACGCGTGAATGTTGTGGTGAAGAGTGGTGGAGAAAGAGGAGTGCGTGTAAACACAGCGCTCAAGGTTGTGGTTGTTGTGAGAGCGCCAGTCGTGGTCTATTCCCTTTTGGGAACGCAAACGGAAAAGTCGACGGCGACTAGCCTCGACTGGACCTCTCGAACGGAGGAATGAGCATCCTACATCACTTTCTGATGTTCTGCAAGCGTTCTGTCACAAATCATCGATGTTTGGAGAGTCATGATTCGTTCACGAAGAAGACCCACAAGTCGATGAAGCCCAGCAGGGGTGTATTCCACAGTACAGTAGGCCACAGGAGTTGAACATGTCTCTACTATACAGATCTGATATGAGGTACAGAAGGGGTCATAGTCACGATGTGGAAAAGCGAATGGAGGAAGTGATTTGAATTTGAGAGATGCCATCAACACAGACCTGCTAGTTTTTGTCAATCTTGAAGTCATACAGTTGATTACTCATAAGCTACTCTGCTGCAGGTGCCTCATGTGGCAGCAAAGATGAGAACGCGCCTCAAAACTATCCAACAATACGGATACCGCCGCGCTTCTTCGCCTCTGCCTGCGCCTTGCGCTTCGCAAAGTCTTGAGCAACCTTAAAACACCTCTTGTACTGATAATGCCAGACCTTCGAAGGCTTGATTACTCCGTGAGTACCGGGACTTAACATACCGTGTTTATCATGACTCTTGGTCAATTTGCGAGCTTGACGACCAAATTCGCCTCGCATGTATCCTGCTGGAAGGTTGGGGTCAGCTGCTTCATCTTCAGTGGTAATGCCCATAGTTTTTGCAGCCTGAGCATCCTGCATAGCTTCTTTGATTGCGGCTTTCCTCTTTCGCTTGAAGAGGTTGTATTCTCGTCGACTCAGACCTTCGGGTGTGAGAAGAGCAATTGCTTCTTCCTGGGTGATAGAAGAACCAGTGACGGAAGGTGAAGATGGTACAACGGGAGTCGATGGTAAATCAGATGGTGAAGGGACATTAGGCGTAGAGGGAACGTCAGGCGTGCCAGCGCCGATGGGGGAATTTGTGCTGTGGAAACTCATCTTTTGTCACCAGGACTTCTATTTTGTAGTTTTGCTCGGACTCGCGTAGAATATGGAGACTTCGACCTTATAAACTCTACGCATCACCAGAGCTGACAAAGAACTTCGAAAGAGATTGCTTGAACATGGGGACAAAGAAATCCTCATGCAAGGCCCAAATAGTGGATGGACTACAAGAACGGAAAGGGCGCTGTGTTTCGCACTTTCTTTGTCAATCAGAATTTCTGGCTTTGTTGGACGGTTAGATGATAGCATCGCATCAGCTCCTGTGTGCGACATTCTTTCACCAACTTAGTTCATCATGAGCGGTTCTTTGAGCGGGTCTTCCAACAACTAAACTAGACGACAATTCGATTGTCCGACCTCTTTGATGTCCTTTGACCCCCCTCGAGTGATTATTCTCGAACAATGGACATACAATCTGGCACATACATGATCAATCGGCTCGTAAGTTGCTATAAAACACAAGAGCATGCAAGTCCCATGACCGATACTCGACACACCAATCTACAGGAAAGAAACAACACTATCTGAACAATCTCAAAACCACAAACAGGACATTCATATACAACAAAATCATGCCTCCCAAAAAACAAAAGGGCATGGAGACCTGGACGCGCAACGTCGGACTTGAGGCTGAATTGATCAGACTAGGTGTCGCTAGGGATGCTGTAATGGAGATGACAAGAGAACAACAGAGTGCCGAACTTGATAGACTTGAGGGCCTTGCTCCTCGAAGTATCGCAGATGCATATGCTCAGACCTGGACAGACAATCACCAACAGGCTGCCGCCGCTGCTGCCGCTTTCATGATCGCTAATCCCCCTCCTCCTCCTCCCGCCCCTGTTGTTCCTCCACCACCCCCTCCTACTGTCGAGACTGCACCCGAGACCCCTCACGCTCCTCCTGCTCCTCTCTCTGTTCGATCTGCTGACAATGTTGACCATTTAGGTAACGCTAATGCTGGAAATCCAGTTCAAGATGATCACCCAATGGATATTGATGGACCTGAATTGACCAGCATTGGTCTCCACCACAATTCTCCGACTGATAATAATCCTTGGCTCCTCCAACAATCAATGCAACCACCAATTGCAGCCCGTCGCGCCGATGAGCCTTGGCCACAACCACTCGGTCCTCTCTCCGTCGAAGTCCAAAGATTCATCAATGAGGCCCCCAATGATCACCTTCAGCGCCATCACCTCGAGGTCGTCGTCAGTGATCAATGGAACTATCTCATGGCACCACCCCCCGCACCGATTGAGATACCCTCGATGGGCCCACTGCCACTCGACATCTAACAAATGTACGCCCATCTCCCTGCACACCTCCAAGCTATCGTTTCCACGATGCCTCTGCCCTTGCAACACTCTTTCGCCCTCGAAACTCCTCACGTCCAAATGAGCCACCTCTACCACAGATACACTGAACTCAGACAACAATTGGAACAACAACTCGCAAACAGAACACACATCGATACTGATCCCCTTCTCCACACTCTTCCCGAACTCAGAAACTGGCTTCAAAATACCTCTCTCGCACTTCAAACCCGCTGGGTCAACTCTGTCCACCCCGACCGCATGGAAATCCTCAGAGAAAATGGTTTGCTGACTTGGATGCAGGATTACACTGTTGCCCACCTCCAAAGACTTGTCGCTACTGCTCCTCAACATGTTCCTGATCGTTTGCTGCAGGCTGAGGATATGGCTAGGTACAATGCTGGATTTGGTATGGATTACTTTGCTTGGTTCATTTCTCCTGAGCGCATGGCTTGGTATGAGGGACTCAGGCAGAGTGGTCAACTGTAAGTTTGATTTCGCTTTGTCGTTTGCTGATGTTTTGCAATTGTCGCTGGTCGATGCGAATGTTCGAGACAGCTAAGTCCTTTGCTGTCACTCTATCAATCAAATTTTTTTTCCTGCAATATCTCTTTTCTTTGCCTCTCGACATGTGCCAATACGTCATGGTTCTTTTGACTCCCGTGTACCGATATCTATAGCTAAACTCGAATTTCTCTCATTCAAGGCTTGCCTCATGTGAGACTGCACCTTATTTGTCCTGTAGACGTCTGCGCTTTAACGTATGATCTGTCCCATGTACATCTCTACTATACAACAGTCTCTCTCCGCACTTGAATCGGCCAGGTCTACGGCGCACCGGCAACCTCTCGGTCTTCGGCGCCGAGGGCCTCATGACTACCTAAGATAGGAGTAAACACTGCACCAACACCTTCACGTTCTCACTGAACTCCAGGGTTGTGGTCGGACCACAGTACGCGGCTCATTGGGCGAGAGAGGATCGATTGTGGATAACGGGCAGTTTGACAATGTAGGTATCGGAAAGAAGTTGACCATGCTCTAAGCAACGCCGCTATCTTTCTTGACACTCTCCCAAACAGCTCCCTCCTTTTCGATCTTCTCCACCACATCAACCGCAATTCTGAGGTTTTGGGCGCCAGCAAGTGCCCTGGCTATGACGGTCTCGTTTCTCTCAGACACAAGTCTTCCTAGCGCGCTAGCGATGAATGCGCCAAAGTGCTCGAGTGGCCATGACGGAGGAATCAGAGGCAGCACTTGTGCAACATCAAACCAACTTCCGAACTTTTCGAGAAGCTCGGCAACTCTTTCTAGTTGCTGTTCATGGTCTTCAAGATCGAAGTAACAGTGGAGGAGATGAGAGAAGAGTGTTTCTTGTTCCTCTTTTGAAGGTGAGGGGAGTGTTGAGGCCGAGGTGGCAGGGTGGAATATACTGCTACCGCCGAGGAGGCAATATCGTACTGCTGTGTCGAAATCTGCTAGTCCGTGAACAAGCAATTTGAGAGCTTTCTGATGCTCATCTCTTCGCGCTGCAAGGACTATCATCTCAGGGACAAGCACTCCTGAGTACGCATCCAGTCTATTGCTCAAGGCTTCAACGTCATAAACTGAAGAGCCGCCAATAAGCTGGAGGAGTCGAAGTCTGTTCTGCCACCATGTGTCCGGAAGACTGTTGTCATGAATGAATTGGCTATACGTCGGCTTCGGAGGAGACAGAGCTCGATAGGTGTGGTAGCTCGTAAGGAGTATGTCGCCGGCAGATGTCGATGGATCAGAGATGGCTTCGGTAACGGTATCGAGGTAGAAGTAGATAAGGTCGTTGGCATATTGATTTTGGTTCTTGCCGAAGACAAGGTGTTCCAAGTAGTCTTTGACTGCAGTTGGCGCACGCTCCTTTAGTAAGTCAACGGCTTCGGCAGTCGTAAACTTCACTCTTGCATTCTCATCTGCAAAGATTTGAACGCCGAGGGCGGGGTTGCGATTGGCGAGCCAAGTGCCGTAGTCCTTGACCAGTTCGACATCCTTGATTCTGGTGACATATTTCCGTACGTCCAATTCTCCGTCGATCAGTTCACCGCCTACGTCTTCTGAAGATTCGAGTATACGCCGCCAAGTTGATAGGACTTGACCAACCATACGTCGACTTTGATATAGTCGAGAAAGGACATAGAGACGTTTGTGCTGTTCAAGAAGTTCAACTGCACGGTCGAAGCATTCTACACCTTGATCGACGACATCGTTGAGCTCGGAACGTATCGACCCGGATATCGCCGGTCCCGGGAATGTGTTGCTGTCGAGCATTAGGAGTAGAGATAGTAACGCAGCGTCAACGGTATGGAAGACCTGCTTCTCATCTGCGATACTGCCAAAGCCTTTCTTCTTCCGCCAGGATTGCAGGTAGCGCTTCAAGACTTGTAGCAAATTGTCTCCATACGGACCTTGTGGATCTTGGTTGATAGAAGCTGCATGGTATTGTGCTTTGAATTGTTCAATGGCATTTTTGAGACCACCCGGTATCCAGAGGCCTTGTTGACCTTCGACTACCTCGTCTGACAGGACCGGGATGATGGAAAGGATGATGCGAGGGTCTATTTCTCCCTCTACAAGAGCGTCATGCGTTGAGCGTTTGTCAGTCTCAGAAGCAACGACGCCCTGATTGGTTTTGAGAATGAGATCAATCAGCAGCAGGAGCGAAGCTTGTTGCCGAACATAGTTGAAACCGAAGAACTCGAACTCGTTAGTGGCTTCTCTGCCACGTATACTGTTGATTACTGCTTGAACTTGGCTACGATGTACAGCGAACACATCGGCCGAAGAATCGATAGCGGCACTCAACCGAGTTTCGAGTTGCACGACGAGAGGGTTACGGACCACCCACCAGATACAGTCGCTGGCAAATACCAAGACTCTAGTCTGGACACTTGAGAACCGGTCGATGAGCTTGTCTTCATCGTTGTCGCGTTTCTCATCAGACGCAATCTCTTCGGGTGTCGTTTGATGAAGGTAGAGACGGCGCAGACTGAGTGCTTTACCAACAGAGGGAAGACTGAGAGTTGTCGCAGTAGTGACCTCGCGTAACGCCATCTGAGCTTTAGACATGTCAGAGTCTGGCAGGATGAGGTAATCTTTATAATACTGATTGTCCGAAGGATCAACATCCCAGCGTTGATACTCGACAATCTTTTCGACGACGCCATTCTTCTCACGACGTACAACAGCTAGCACAAAACCCTCTTGAGACATATCTCCAGGCATCCGTGGCATGGAAGGATCCGAGGCTTGACTGTCGACAACGATGGAATCTGGGTAGCTCTCGAACTGAATGGTACCCCGGACAACATCGCCGTCGAGATTGACAAACATGCCCACAGCAGGGTCATCAACAGAAGTACCGGTCGTCAAGAGGAACTCGTTCGGAGTGGGGGTGGAGATATGAGGTCTCAGTGGAGAGTGTGATATTGGAGGCACGAACGGTGGCTGTTCGACTTGTGGCGTAGGAGGAAGGATTTTGCCATCGAGGTCCAAAGAGGGACTAGCAAGCGGTCTCGTCGGGCTGGGGGAAAGAGTCTGACGGGAAGCAGCACGATGCGGCCATGCTGAGGGAGAGTCGTTGGGGTGGAGACGATCTGGAGTCTGACGACCAGGCGTCTGAGGAGAAGTGACGACTCGGTCCCGCACACGAAGATCAGGTCTGCGGACAGGGCTGGTGGCTGAGAGGGTGGGCGAAGCGGAGCGTTGCCTCGTAGGTGTGCCCTGGACTGGACTCTGGCGACCCGAATGCACGTCAGGCAAAGACGAGATGGGGAAGAGGTCAATCTTGCGTTGGTTGACAATGTCCAGCAAGGCGTAAGATGTACCATCAGCAACACAAGCGAGATCAGCGCGGCGTTGTATATCCAAACAATTGCCCAGCTCAATATCCCTGATCTTACGGGGAGAGCCTTGGTCCATGATGCGGATGACACGCAACTTCTGCCTCAAGCAGATGACAATAATGCAGCCATCAGCAGGATCCAGCTCCTGGCCATCCAAATCACGGTCCAGCCCTCCAACCCATGTGCAATCACTCTGCTTGATCTTTCCGCCGAACGCTGGACTGAGCTCGGGCAGTGTGTAGAATGTCAAAGTACCATGGCACAAGACGCATGCCTTCCCAACCGAGGGTAATAGTAGAATCTGCTCAACGATTGGCGACGAGTCGGATTGCTTGGTCGAGTGTTCGGGTTGTAGACGGGAAGCAAGGATGTAGGTAGGCTGGTCCGAGTCGGGCGACGGGATCGAGACAAAATGGAGAATCTCTCCTGCCGACGTTCCGATATACAGGTTGCCATCTGCTTAAGGTCAGAGAATTGGCAGGAGCGGCGCATGCGGAAGTCGCGACTCACCCCAGGCATCCACGCAGGTTATGTGCACATCGTGCTCTTCCTCTCCGTCTGGCGACAATGGGGCATTGCGCATCAAGTCGCGCAACACATATGCGCCATCATCAGCTGCAGTCTCCATGCTTCCTCATGACTCTGTCTCATCTACAGCGCAGTGATCAAGGTGTCGCAGCGGGCGTCATTCTCACATGTCAAAGCGCCAAGAATCTCCACGTAACCCTTGGATGCTCCTGCCCACTCGGTCAACAGACAAGGACATTGCTCCGTCAATAACCTATCTCTTGCCCTTGTTGACTCCAATCACATGCGCTGTGTTGAATGAGGGCAGTCAAAATGCCAAGTGAAGCAGCAGAGCCGCACGCCGTCCAGGGCGCCGTGGATCATCACGACAAGGAGAACAAGTTCCAGCAAGCAATCGCTTCATGGCGGAGTACGCACCTCTCTTTCTTTTGATCAAAGTCCATTCTGTGTTTGCCCTTTGCTCTCTTTGTCTCACTTACTTATATCTGGCTAGGCGTCGATCTAAGCTCCCTCATCTCGACCCTCGACACAGCCGCCTCGGATCTTGTCACCCACCAGCGAGATACTTTGGTACAACGCAAGGAGCTTGCTCAAAAGACCAAAGACTTCCGCAAACTCGAAGACGCCGCCAAACTTGGCGAGATCAAAGCGCTGCTCAAGTCGTACCAGTCCTTCATCGACCTCATCTCCAACCAGTCAAAGTCGACTCAGTCAGCCTTCCTCCAGATCTACTCGCCCCTGTCCGAAGCCCCCGATCCGTACCCACTGCTCGAAGCCTCGATTGACTCTTTTGTCACCGCTCAAGAAGTCGTCCCCAAGCTAGAGTCCGAGAACAAACACTTGCAGTCAACTGTCACCAAATTGACAGCACAACTAGAGGAAGCCGAGTCTCAGCTGGAACAAGAGCGCTCCACCAGACAGTCCTCACAGTCGAGTCAAGATACAAAGATCAAGGAAGTTGAGGCATCATGGAACGCTGTCCTGAAAGAGAAGCAAGACAATTGGGACGCACGGGAGAAGAGCTTGGAAGAAAAGGTCGAGAATCAAGACCGCCTGCTGAAGGAGCTCAAGGCCAGCTACGATGTCGCTCAACGTCTAGGCAAAGCCGAAGACGATACATCAAACACTCTACACGGCGCATCGCAGCAGGAGCTCGATCTGGTCAACCAGGAACTCGAAAAGGCAAACCTCCGTCTATCTGAGCTGGAAGGTCGCAACGAGCAGCTTCGCCTTGACCTCGCCCAGTCGACCTCAAACCAGAGCTCATCTCAAACCGCCGTCTCGGTCGAAGACGACCCTGCGTTCCTCCGCCTACGCTCTGAAAACTCTCAATTGCTACGAAAGCTCGATGCACAACGCTACGAGAAGGACTCGTTAAAGACAAAGTGCGACTCAAGTGTCAGATCACTGGAACGGGAGCTGGAATCCCTGAAGCAGGACCGTGAAAGTATCAAACGCAAGCTGGACAAATGCAGCGACTATGACGAGGTCAAGCAAGAGTTGGACATGCTCAAGTCAATCGAGTTTGCAACGGGTGATGCAGATGACTCGGACCGCGAGACAGATGCTCCTCCCATTACTGAGAAGGGCGAGTCTCTGGAGAAGCTGCTGCTTGCTCGCAACAAAAAGCTCTCCAACGAGCTGACCATCCTCCGTGTCTCGCACAACGATCTCCAGTCTCGTCTTGAGACGCTGCAAGAAGACCTGTCCAGCACGAACATGGAGTTGGAGAAGTCGCGCAACCTCACTCAAACACTCGAGGAGGATCTGCTGCAAGCTCAGAACGAAGCCACCAACGCTTTCGACCCCTCGGCCATGTCTGTAGCAGGCACATACACGTCTCGCTACCCAAAGTCCTCGTACGCCGCTTCCATTCGTCGTGGAGCGAACACTTCTCCCACGTCTTCCATCATTTCTGGCTTTGACACCGGCACCTCTTCACCCAGGGGACTGGATTCGTTACGCCTTGAAGCCCCTAACGCTGGCATCCTGCCAATGGTCACTGCTCAACGTGATCGCTTCAAGGCCAAGATCAGAGAGCTCGAGACGAATCTGCAGGAGCAGTACACTCTGGTCTCTTCTTTGCGCTCCGAGATTGCCAGCCTGCAAAAAGACAATCTGTCCCTGTATGAGAAGAGCAGATACGTCAACAGCTACAACACAAAGGGCGGTGCCACCTCTGGCTATTCGTCCACAAATCCGAGTACCATCACAATCGATCGTGGCAACTCAGGCACCGATGCTCGCTACAAGTCCGCCTACGAAAACTCAATATCTCCCTTTGCCGCTTTTAGAAGCAAGGAAACCAGCCGTGCCTTCCAAAGACTGTCACTACCAGAGAGAGCAGTATTGCAAGCGTCCAGGCTTGTCCTTGCAACAAGGACGAGCAGAAATATGTTTGCCGTCTGGGTTACAGGGCTCCATCTTCTGGTCTTTGTTATGTTGTTCTGGATGGGCGGAAGCAGCGATACACCACATCTGGCTCATACTGTTGCCGCTGGTAACGCCGCAATAGCTGGCGCAAAAGTAGCTGCGGCGCAAGGAGGTTCTGGAGGATCAGGTGCGAAATGGGAACAACCCGGTTTCGGAGACACGTAAAGAATTGGAATCAAAAGTATACTTCGTCTCCCATTCAACCCTTTGGACAAGTCACAACACTTACCTCCAAGCTTTCCCAAGCTTTCCGAGGGCTTTAATGGCGTTGCAAAGCTTTCACCTGGAGACATTCTCACCGCGGAGAGCCTGTCGAAGTCCAGCCGCACGGTTTCTGACGCCACCTCTTCAGCCAATCCACGCGTCAACTTGTCACACTCCTCTTTCGTTCTCATAACACACTTTCGGAGGCGTCGGAAACAAGATGCTCCAAGACTTTTCAAGAGAGATCAAGACCAGAACGGTTGCCTTGTGGATGCGGGGATACCAAACTTCACCTCGGTTAAAGTCTTACATGCCTCGGCACCGCTTCCTTCACGCAACGACTTGCTCGAACACCTGCCGTTTTGGGTTGGTCTTCTACGAGCCGCTGTGCTGGGAAGCTAGCTACGACCGATGTTTCGTTGACCGCAGCCGTGAGGGGTCTCCGATGTCGACTCTTTGGGGGGAAAAAGCAACTCGTTAATACTGAGCAATACCAAGAGATGATACAGATATGATATCAACAACAGCAATTACTTGTCCATTGGACATGAAACTCGATATGGATCCTCGTGGAGTGACATTCAGAGTGACAAGTTAGATCGTCAGGTAACTCAGGTTGTCAGTGACATGCAGATCGAGTCTCGGCCATCGTGTCTCGTAGACTCGTACCTTCGTACACAGCATCTTCCCCCTGATGCATCATGCAAGCCGCGGCTTTACGTTTCCTGCCCGTTCACCACGCCATCTCTTGCTTTAGCGCCTCACCTCTGGGGTAATTTGACGTGAAGATCTCCCCATGTGGGGATGCGACCGATGATCTGGGGATTGGGTTTCCGACGTTCTGGGGTTTGCGGAGAGTGAATTGGGACACTATCGTCTACTAGGCAGAGGAGGCCTTCGGAAGAGGAACCGGTCGTATATAAGTAGGGCGTGGATCCTCCTTACTCATCCCTCCGTACATCGTGGCCTTACTCATACCTACTACTTGCAGTCTGCTTCCTCTCCCATATCCATACCAATTCATACACGACCAATCATGTCTCACGAGAAGATCGACCACACCCTCACCGAGGACCGAGACAGTGGCAGTGGCAACGGCGCTCCTTTGAGTCGTCAAATGACTGTTGCCCTCACCCCCGAGCAATACGAGAGATTGTTCTTCCAGCCTGAAGGGCCCAGGCGTGGAGACTTCTCCAAGAGATTTGGTATGTCTACCTCCGCATCCGAGATGTGCCTCTGCAGATTCGTTTCTAACAACTATCACAGCCAACCCTACCCTACTCGGTCTTCTTGGCTTCTTGATCCCCTACACATCCACCATCTTTACTCTTTGCGGTCTGCGGGGTGCCGTCGCACCAACCAGTCTTATCGGCTTGAATGGTGACTACTACTTCCTCGGCGCCATCGCCATGAACCTTGCCGGTATCGCCGAGTTCGTCCTTGGTAACAGTACGTTTTGTCCTCATCCATCGAATTATCATCACGCCAGTGATCTAACATTGTAACAGCCTTCCCAATGGCCGTCTTCATCATCTACGGATGCCACTGGGGCTCCCTCGCCTACGCCCAGGATCCCTTCTACAACCAACTCTCGGCTTTCTCGAAAGTCGGCAGCAATGCCGGAGCCGAGTGGAACGCCTCGCAAGGATTCCACAATATCACCATGGTCCTTGTGTCTTTCACATTCCTCGTCGCCACTTTCCGCGTCAACGCCTTCTTCGTTGCCACTTTCTTCGGCCTGGTGATGATGTTTTCATTCATCGCTGCCGCCGACTTTGCTGTCCCTCACATTGAAACTGCTGCTGACCCTCTTGCTGCACTTGAACATGTGGGTACGCTGCTCAAGATCGGAGGTGGATTCGGTTGGTTGGGTTTGATCAGTGGATGGTACCTCGCCATTTTGACCGCTTGCGCTGCTGTCGGTATCCCCTGCCCTCTTCCTGTTTTGGACTTGAGCGGCAAGGTCTTCTCCAAGAAGGATGGCGAGCACTCCAAGCACGCTTAGATGTGCTTGTCTGTGTGTGAAAGAGGGAAAGATGATGTGTATGAGATAAGTAATGATGTATATGTACTACGTAAAGATTTTCCATTCTTCCTTCACTTTTCCTCTTCTTCTTCCTCCTCTGTGTGGTGAAATCGGGTGTGTTTTGCGATTTTGAGACATGGTTCACTTTCTTCTCTTTTGCAAGATGTCTTGCTGCTCCACAAAGATACCAAACAACACAACAGTGCTCGAGACATGTGCTCAGACATGCAAATGTCTCGATCTAGCGTCCTTACTATCTGTCTTTTCCTCCATCAAAGCCTCGAAACTTCAAAAGCAACAGTCACACCCTTATAATTTCACCATCAATTACCACCAAAGCACACAACAACTCCTACAGAACTACAATAATGTCATACTCGAAAGCCAACAAGAACGATCAACCCAGCAGATCCACAAATCGCAAACCACCAGCCATCAAAGATCAATTAACTCCTGCCACCTCTACACCAAGTCGATTGCCTGGAACCTTGCATCCAGCTTCTTCTGCAACGCCACCGCCCAAGACCAGACAGCCATCTACCGCTCCAGCACGTAAACCCTCCGCTGCAACCAAACCAACTCCTTCACTAAAGCGGCCCTCACCACAACAAACTCCACAGCGCAAATTCTCTGCTACGCCAACCCCTTCCCATCTCTCTCCCAATCAGCCACGCAAAGCCTCTGTGACGCCAAAGTCACCCTCAGCGCGGAAGACATCTGCTACACCAAAGCCTTCCCACCTCACTCCTCCTGGGCGCAACGCCTACACTGTTCTGAACTCTGCACCATCTCAAGCAACCCAACCTCTAAAACCTTCACCACGCAAAGCTTCTGCAACTCCCAAGCTGCCCTCGCCGCCAAAACCAGATTGGAAAGCGCCACCGGGAAAACGCTGTTCGTTTACATCGTCGCCTACTCAGATTCCTTCGCCTGTGTTTGTTTTCTCGGTCAGAAAGGATGCCTCGGCATCACTAGAACCGAGTTCGCTGGTGGGTAGTGGTATAGGTGGACTGTGTACTCCTGTGCCTGCTCAGAGAAGGCGTAGAGGTGGCGTGATGGGATCTAGTCCATTGGTATGCGAGGTCAGCGGTGAAGAAGATGTACTCGAAGGATCTGGCAGAAAGGGCATGGAGGAAGTCAAGGAATTGGGGTTGAGATTACTTTTCAACGATCCATTTCTTTCGACTCTTGGATCTGCCTCTGGAACCATCTCTGCAGTCTCTGGCCTCCCTGTTTCACCGAGAGTAAAGCCTATCACCGATGCTCTTTCGCCCACCTCGCCGACCTCACCTCGACCGCGCATCTATACGCCCACGTCCACCGCGACCACTCCTACCTTCGCCACTGCCTTGAGCCCCATTGCCACGAACAGCAAACACCAGCAACAAGCAGGAGATGCAGAAGAGCAGACACCAAAACGCGACTCCCTCTCTCCCAATCTCGGGCCCACCACTGTCACGCCTCCATCCAGACTTACCTTCCCATCTACGGCCACTCCGAGATCACAATCGTCCAGGATCCCTCATCTCAAGTACCGCCATCTCAGTCCTCTCAGCACGCTCCCGCCTTCGCCCTCGTCGACACATCCCTACACCGGAAACGCGCATATTACGCCTTCGTGCACCGTAGGAGCGCTGACGCATCGATTGGCGTGCGGACATCTGGTACTCACGATTATGCCAGAGGTTTGCGGTGTCAATTGTATTCATCCGAAGGATGTGCGAAGCAATAGTTCTCAGGAAGCAGGTGGGAAGAAGGGCGGTGGGGAGGTGAGAAGGGAGAAGAGTGAGCAAGAGAGAGTCACAAGGGAGAGGCAAGGAAATGGTTGGGAAAGGGCTTGGAGAGAGAGAATTGCGAGGAAGAGAGAGCACACAGAGCAAGGCTTCGTGGGTAATATCAGGAATTTGGATGCAGAATGGGGTTGTCCTTGTTGTGTGATGGTAGGAGAGCAGGGGAAGAGGAGGAGGTGTGTTGCTATCTTGGCGGCGGAACATCGATAGATCATGATAGACAGACACTGGGAGTGAATATTTGCATTAGGTGAGGATGTGTATGTGCGAGCGCAAGAGGGTGAATTGATCGAAGTAGGGTATATCGAATGCACACAAATACCACTATGTCTTATTGAGAGTGTCGCTCTTGTCCAGCGACCGGCTTCGAAGAGCCTCGCAAGATGATGTCTGGACACAAAGAATCTGACCACATGACTTCCGCCGATGCAAACGATGAAGCTCTATACTTTGGTTCAATTATTCCCGAGCATGGAACGACGTTGTCGGAGAACATAGACTTCCGAGTGACAGGCCATGGTTTGCGACTTGTGAGTGTTTCCATTATTGACGCGCTTTGAGCGGAAGCGCGTGGAGAAGGACACGGAATCGGTCTCCCATCACTGGCTCACCGGCTTCCAAGATGGCTTCTCTGATTTCTGCCATAGACTTGAATCAGGTGTTGGACGGCGTCGAAGGAAGATGTCACCGTCGTCGTCATCCTCCAAGTCGCGGAGTCGGAGCTGCCAAGACTCGATACCAACACGTGGGCTGCTTATTCACACTTTTATGCAAGCCATCCGCGAACAATAATCCTGTTTTGTTGGAGCTGTCCACAAAAAAAGTCACGCCGACCGTGATAACAGGTAATTTCCAGAACCCGTGTCCTCTAGAGTCGACTCTTTTCCCTCTCATCTCCAACAACAAAGCACACGACACCTTTCCGCGACACTTTTGGGGAAAGAACGACTGTGCCAAGCCCAATCAACAGCTTTGTGCACGGTATTCGTTCGTCCTGAAATCTGGCAGCTTGATTCAGGCCGCCAACAGCACTTTTTGTTCATCCTGACCAAGATCTGACACCCTACTCAACATGGCCCATCGCGACTCGCCGAAGCTGCAAGGCATCTTGAAGAACGATGATGACGTTCAAGCCGCTCAGAACGGTCAGCCTGTCTCGCCGTCGCAGTTGTTGAACATTCGTGGTGCTCAGTCGCCGAAAGAGGGTCCCAAATGTACGTATCTTCTCTGTCTGCCTTCACGACTTGATGCAGTGACCCTCACAACTTGCGTGTCCTTGTTCATCTACTCATCTGTCGAAACCAACTTCGTCTGCCCATCCCTTGAATTTCTCATCTCATATCGCTTATCATGTATCAGCTGTTTCAATTGATCCCTATGCAGAGACCATTTCTCCAATGATGCTCGGAAAGGACAAAGATGTTGATGATCTCGAACTTGACAGAGTTCCCAGCAGTGGTCCTCGTGCTTTCAAGGCCAAGGGCCCCAACCAGAAGCGTCTGTCAGGCAGACGCGCGCACAACGGATCAGTGACCTCGTTGCCAATCCTCGAACCATCCGAAGGTGAGAAGGATGAAGAACACCATCTGTTCAGTGGTGGTCTTGTCGGTCAAGTAACTGCATGGCTTCGTGAGGAGAGAAAGAAACGTGATGCACGCAAGACGCGCAAATCTGCCAATGCGCAACCTCAAGAAGAGGGCACTCCTCATGAGAATGTTCCCACCACTTCTCGCTCCCGTCGTCGTAGCTCTGGCGAGAGCGTCGATCTCAGCAGGTTGGAGCAGATCTTGAAGGAAAGCATCCACTTCGAGAAACCTCGTAAACCATCACTTGTGCATCCGAGCATCCGAAAGCGCCCATCAGTCGCCCGCCTGCACAAGTCTTCGTCCAATGCTGGTCAATCCTCCGACACTGAGTACCATGACGGCGATGCTCTCGTCCCCTCTGCTGAGGCCTGGCTTGACAACACCAAGACACTAGCCAGTGCTGGAGGTGCTGCAGACCCGAACGAGTCGACAGAAAGTCTCGGCCTTGGTTCTCGTCAAGCTTGGTCATCGTTCAAGTACGAGATTGTCCGTCTTACCCACACGCTGCGTATCAAGGGCTGGCGTCGTGTGCCCATGGACATGAGTAACGAGTGCACTGTTGAGAGACTCAGCGGCGCCCTCACCAATGCCGTCTACGTTGTATCACCGCCGAACGTATTGCCTCCTCGTCCCACAAGCGCCGATGGAAGCCAACCCTTGCAACGCCCTCCTCCCGCAAAACTGCTTCTCCGTATCTATGGTCCTCAAGTGGAGCACCTCATCGATCGCGAGTCTGAACTTCAGATCCTTCGCCGTCTGGCTCGCAAGCGCATAGGACCTCGTTTGCTGGGTACATTCAGCAATGGTCGATTCGAAGAATACTTCCACGCAAAAGCACTTGACCCCCAAGATCTGCGCAACGCAGACACGTCCAAGCAGATTGCCAAGCGAATGCGCGAACTCCACGAAGGTATCGATTTGCTTGAGCGCGAGCGTGACGAGGGTGCATTTGTTTGGCAAAACTGGGACAAGTGGTTCCAGCGTGTCGAAGATGTGACCATGTGGCTTGACAGCGAAGTTCTCAAGCATCAGCAGAGCAAGAACCCTTCGATGGAAGGATGGCAGGCTCGTGGCTTTGTTTGCGGTACTGAATGGGCCGTCTTCAAGAAGACGGTGCAAAGATATCGTGAGTGGCTGGAGGCACAGTACACTGAGCCCGGCCAGCTGCGCTCTCGTTACGTCTTTGCTCACAACGATGTAAGTTATTCTTGTCCTCGACTGCGCGTATCCATCTAACATTTGGTAGACCCAATACGGCAACATCCTCCGTCTTCTGCCTTCGGGCACATCACCCCTTCTCTTGCCAGCCAACACGCACAAGCAACTGATCGTCATTGACTTCGAGTATGCCAACGCAAACACGCCTGGCCTCGAGTTCGCCAACCACTTTACCGAATGGTGCTACAACTACCACGACGAAAAGGTGCCCTGGCTCTGCAACACATCCTTCTACCCCACTCCCGAAGAGCAAGATCGCTTCGTTCGCGCCTACGTGCGTCACCGTCCTCAGTTCAATGCCATGACTCCCCAGTTGGGTCCTCAAGACGGCGCTGCTGCAGCAGGAAAGGAAAAGGAACAAGAGAAGCAGAAACGACCTGCTGGACCTACAAGCAGTATCTCAAACTTCATGCTAGATGCCCGCGGACCTCCCGAGTCGGCCGCAACCACGGCAAAGCAAGATGCAGAGTACCAAGCCAATGAGGACGCCCAAGTGCGCTCTCTGCTGCGCGAAACACACATGTGGCGACTCGCAAACACAGCTCAATGGGTGGCTTGGGGTATCGTACAAGCCAAAGTACCTGGTCTGCCCTCTGCTCCTTCTGCAGCTATCCCGCTTTCCGAGACTCCGGATGAGATGACACCTACTGGAGACCAAGTCATTTCTGATCCTCTGGATGCAGAGGTTAAACAGTTGCAAGATGATATCAAGGATAAGCGACCGGACCCGAATGAGGAGGATGACGAGCAAGCCGAGGAAGAATTCGATTACTTGGCTTATGCTAGGGACAGAGCTATGTTCTTCTGGGGTGATGCGTTGAGTTTGGGTCTTGTGGATGAGAAGGAGTTGCCTGAGGATGTCAAGAGCTCGGTCAAGAGAGTTGAGAATTGAGGCATGTAGGATCTCTAGGGTGTACGGTGGCTTGTTCGAGCAAGAGTCCTACTATTGAACGTCTTGCTAATGGATAGATCGAGGTACACCACAGCACGACTACCTGATTCTGACAGCATTGTTGATATCTCCCTTACGACCCACTGCAATTTTTAGTGCTATGGAAATGCAGTGTGATGACTCCAATCTGCTGTGTGTCCATTGAGAGCCCCTGGCGTTTATCGAATCTAATGGGCTCTCAGTGGATATAGCTCCAGCCCATGATATCTACGTGACTTTTGATAGCAATCTCCAGAGCACACACGCCACATGGAACGACTGAGCGACGAGACGTCGGTCATGAGCCTCGCTCGACATTGGCTCAGTATGTTGATATATCTTGTGACCCACGTCTAGTCCTATAGAAATGCAGAGGAGTGATTGGAATGTACTGTATGTCCACTGAGAGCCCCGAGGATGGAGTAGATGTGACGGGCTCTCAATGGATACAGCTACGGATCGTCATAGCTATGTGAATTTTGACAGGCTGTTTGTGTGTATGCAAATCAATTCGAGATGGTCGAGGAAAGATGCCCTGTCAAAAAGCAGACTAGTCCCAATCAGGAAATGATCATCCACTGTTTTGGACTTTGATGTTTTGGACTTTGTCATGCGCCGGCTTTGCTTCTGCCACAACAAGACAGCAATCAACGTTACACAATGGCGACGAGTGAGCAGATCAAGACGGCGCTGTTGACAGAGCACTTCCGCTATACACCATTGGTGAGTGCGCGTCTTGAGTCTTCTGTCGCGACCGAGTGCTTATCCGCTACAGACACTCCTCGACGACATTGTCAACACCGTCAACGAACTCACCTACCAAGCCGTCGGCGAAATCGAGACCGCGCTTCTCAATGTACCCAAAGAACAACTTGGTTTTGCGCCCACTGCGCCACACTCCACCAGCGACCAAACGCGAGACACGACCTCCCAAAACACAGCAGCAGACACCGTAGCAGCAGCAGAAGCAACAGCAGAAGAAGCAGCGACCACTGAAATCAGCGCCGGCATTGTGAAGCTCGAGAGTCTGCTAAACTCGACCATTGACAAGAACTTCGACAAGTTGGAGATTTATACGTTGCGCAATCTGTTGACTGTGAGTAATGCAAAGGAAGATGAAGGCTTGGAGAATTGGATCCTGCTGGATCATTACAAGGTATGTTGGTATGCTCTGTCGCTGTGTGAGGAATAGACAGCTGATATGCTTCAGGATCTCAAAACACCCTCTACAGATGGCAATACGCCAACGCCAGACTCGATAACGCGTTTGCGAAGAAAAGTACAAGAGACGGAGAAATTGCAATCGAGTCTACAAGCAGAAGTGGCACAGAACGAAGCTTTGCTCGCGCAACTGCGATCGCTGGTCCCATCTGCAACAGCTACATCTTCCAAACCCGATGACGACGCGCAACAACACGCAACCAACCACTCCTTCTCCTTCCTCACCTCGACTTCTGCTGCGGCATCTCTAGGCGTAGGCTCCACCAGCCACGCCAATTCTCTCGCCCAAAATACTTCATTCGTATATTCGCAATTACCTGCTTTACGAGATATAGTTGCAACACTCCGCGCTCACTTGGCTACGTTGCCAAAGAAGGATATGGCTGCCACGATCGACGGAGTACAAGAAGCTAGACATGGATATATCGAGAGTCAAAGCAGGAGGGCATTGGAGAGGGTTGGTGTGGATGCGACACCGGCACCAGATACAGAGGCTCTGGGGAGGAGGATGGGTGTTGAAGAGACGAGGGCGTTGGAGGGAATCGTGGGGGCTATGGGCGCGCAGCAAAAGTACGATGAGGATAAGATGGAGGAATGAGGAACGAGGATGAGTTTGAATTACGAGGTCATGAAGGAATTGGGGAGAGGCGTTAAGGCTTTTGCGAGTTTGATGATACCCAGATGTAACCCCGAGAATGAGAAAAGAGAACTTTTGATATACACCCACAACTCCATCTTTGACGAAAGGTCTGTGGGGTCATGCTCACGGTCACTTTACTTCACATGCTTCCTACGAATGTCGTGTCGAGAAGGATCAAAGGATCGAAACTTAAACGTATTCAAGGCAGACGCGCCCATCACCTGTTATAGCTACCAATTTGGCTCCCCTTATCTTTGCTATGAGGTTACTGACCATAAGTTCACATCACAAAATTCCATGGTTCCAGAAAAGGAAAAGTCACACTAATCCACCACAAAGCACTCAAAACATTTCCGATTCTTTCGCACACCGAAACCATGACGATTGAAAACATCATGATACAAACTGATCAAGTCGTCAACGATGCTGTATGCTGTACAGTAAACCTTCCCATTTCTGTAAGCTTTTGCCATCTTTATTTCTCTAGCGTTTACTTTCTCGGCATCCCATCGCCGCGACATGAAGTAACATAGGAACGCCGAAGTACTGATGCATATATCAAGGTACTCAATACCTTCCTCAATCAAGTCCACACACAAGAAGACGAAGAAGGAGCGGTGCCGACATTGACACTGATTCACGATCTTCAGACACGATTCTGGGGACCTACAAAGGAGTTGCGAGAACCAGACAACAACGACAACGACAACAAGGAAAGCAATGCTGGCATACTAGACACACCTTTTCTCAATCTCTCACCTGTCGCCATTGTTGCAACTCTCCAACACCTGACTAGGACTACAGACTCCGCTATCCAGACAGATTGGTTTTTGGTTTTAGACGCTCGGTCTATGGAGGATCATACAGCTGTGATTGTTAGTGTAGAGCAGGAGGAGGTGAGGCAAGTGAGGGTGGAGTGGAAAACGGCGAGTAGATATTTGGCTGCTGCTAGCACAAGTCATCCGGGTATTGATGAATTGATAGAGATTGCGGAGGGGAATGAGGATGGAGTGTTGAGGGATTAAGGAGTGGTTGTGGGGAAGGAATAGCAGGATGGTGGGTAATGAAATCGATGGGAAAAGTCGAGCTGTAATGAGTTGTAGAGATATCTTTCCATCCAACTCGCGCTTTGTATATCTGACACATCTTTGGGATCTACTTGCGTGTAAACTAGTTCTGGCTGGATGAATTCATAAATCTCCATCTGATACGTGAGTACATCTCATGATTGAACTATACTGGTGATCCGTCCTGTCATGCTTCTTTGAATGGTCAAAAGTTCGAAGTCGGGTTGTACTTAGCACCCTGTCGTGCTACTGACTCTCTCTTCGACTGATCAAGATTACTTCCCCTTGACCTGGACCTTGTTCTTACAGAATTGTCGTGGTCTCAGAAGGAAGACAATGCCTCTGTAGTCATTCATGACACTGAAATAGATCTGATGTCGCGATAATGCTGAATTATTCATCGGATCATCGGGACCGGCTACGACTTGTGTTAATGCTGCCACTCAACTTCGATCTCAGCTTGTATCTGACATGGAATAGGGGAAGTTGTAAGCCACCGCAGACTGGCATATGCACTTGCCGTTCATATGGTATACAATTGACGAATCTCTTCGGAGTTCATGCTCGTGGAACCCCGCCACCATGTGGTTTTTATCTTGTTTACTTTTTTGCCCTTGCTCAAGCTTCGGGACGGAAAGCTTGCGCTCGCCAAGACAGGAGTTTGAGCCAATGAAGCTTGGTAGACAGGCACGTTTCACCGCAACATCAACTTTTTGTGTCCCGCCCTCGACTCACAGCCTCAGTGAATCTTACCAAGCATACCCATGTCTTGGCCACCTTGCGAGCTTGGTTCCCGCAGCTTCGTCAGAACAGGCAGGCCGGGTGGCTACCGCCTGGCTGCCGTGTTCAGCATGTCAAATGCAACATCCCTCATTGGCTTTGACAAGTGATCCGCGTCGTCAGTGGCATACTCGATAGCATGCGGGTCCACAGCATTGAGTACGAAGTGAGTGGACGATCCCTGAGCTGTCCTTCACCTATCCCCGAGCTCCGAAAAGTACAAAGTCGACTCGGATTCCCGTTGTAGAACTTCTTGAAAGGTAGGAGCTATTCGATTGGTCTTCACCTGCAGTCCACGATGCGTTCATTCATCTCTCTGCTTTCCCTCTCGTCCGTCGCTCTTGCGAGCTGGACTCGGAACTTGAACTACCGCAGTCCTTCTGACCACCATCCTGGTCTCGGTATCTCTCTCCACAAGGTCAACAAGCGCAATGTGCCTGGTACTCAGTACTCTGCCTCGCAGTTGAACTTTACCCATGGCGTTGCTTCTGGTGACCCGTACTCGGACTCTGTCATTCTGTGGACTCGTGTAGCTCCCATGTTTGACAATGTTAACGACAACTCGACTGTGTCTGGCATTGCACCGCTCTACGGTCATGGAGCCAGCTTGAACGCCAGTACTGCTCCTGTATGTGTGCAGTACAAGGTTGCCAAGACTTCCAACTTCACCCATGTCGAGAGCCAGGGCACCGCCTACACTTCTTCCGACATTGACTACACTGTCAAGGTACGACATATCCTATCTTGGGGAACATGAAGCACTGGCTAATTCTTGAGCTTCCAGGTCGAGGCCAAGAACCTGACCGCATTCACCCGCTACTACTACCAATTCAACGTCTGCGGTTCCAACAAGACCAGTCCTCTTGGCCGCACCAAGACTGCTCCTGACACCAATGACTACACTGCCGAGGTTGGACTTGCTGTCTACTCGTGCAGCAACTTCCGTATGCCACACTCGATCCCAGTATCCGACAAAACGACTAACACATGACAGCATTCGGCTTCTTCAACGCCTATGGAAACCCCGTGCGAAAGGACTCTGTCGACTACGTCATCCACCTCGGCGACTACATCTACGAGTACGCCGGCGACGGTGACTACGGCTACGGCTACAGCATCAACCGCATCCCCAAGCCCGAACGTGTCATCACCACTCTCTACGACTACCGCGAGCGCCTCGCTACCTACCGCACCGATCTCGATCTTCTCGCTTCTCATCAGAACTACCCTTGGATTCCTGTCTGGGATGACCACGAGGTCTCGGATAACACATACCGCGATGGCGCTTCTGAGCTGAACAACACCGAGGCTTCGTTCATCAGCGATGGTGGTGTCTCGGTTGACCAGAGAAAGATGAATGCTGTCAGAGCTTACTTTGAGTGGATGCCCATCCGTCAAGTCGAAATGGACGACAATCTTCGTATCTGGCGCAGCTTCAGCATTGGCAGCTTGTTCGACTTGGTCATGCTTGACACCCGCCAATACGACCGCTCCATCACAGATCTCTACTGGAACACCGATTACGTCCACGACATCAGCAACGATGCAGGCAGAAGTATGATGGGCAGCAGACAGGAAAACTGGTTCTACAACCAACTGACTCAATCCGCAAACCGTGGTGCCGCATGGCGTCTTATTGGCTCTCAAACCGTCTTCTCGCGTGTGAATGAGTCTGCGGCGTATGGCAACACCAATCCTCTCGACTACGACGCTTGGGATGGCTACCAAGCCAACCGCAACCGCACCTTGTCGCATCTCTACAACAACGGCATCGGCAACAACATCGTCATGTCGGGCGACTCTCACGCCTCATGGGTATCTGATCTCGTGTGGCTTGACCACGAACGCTACAACTCCACCTCCGGCAACAACAGCATCGGTGTCGAATTCGCCGGCTCTGCCGTCTCCTCGCCCTGCCCGTACGGCCAAAACATCTCCCTCGCAGCCGCCAACAACGCCTCCGACTGGCTGGTGCATGCAAACGAAGAATTGCAATGGCAAGACATCTACTACAGAGGTTACTTTGAGCTCCACATCAACTACGACGAAGTAACCGCCAATTACTTTGGCATGCCCACCATCATCAACCGCAACCCTGACGAGATTTCTCTCGCCAACTTTACCGTCAAGAGCGGTGCTAACAAGTTGCAACGACCTGTTGCTGGTGGCATCGTCGAGTCTGGTGCACTGAAGTTGGGGCAGGTTGTCCAGACTAATGCTACCAACAACACTGCTACGGGTGTTTGGTTCGTTAGCCAGGCTAACGAGGAGGATATCTGAGGATGCCTACAAGGGGTAGGGCAAGGGGGAAAGATGATGAAGATGTATACGCGAGAAGAATACAATTTCACGGCCATTAAACATCACGAACGACTCGTTTGCCTTTGCAATAGCAGTGACGGTTGTCACGAGCTTAATCTTTATCTCGAGTGGTGTTGTTTCTACACTCAAAGGTATTGATGGAATTTGCACAGTGATAGTCGACATTGCTGACATTTGTTCCAACGAGCGTCGACCGAAGGCATCACGTATCCATCGATATCCGTCACAAATCGAATTCCATCGTTGATAAAATCACACTACCATAGCTGCTCGAGACGTCTTTGGGCTTTCGAATGCCAAAAAACAAAGTCATGTACTGTGTTCGGTATGGCGGGGAGGACTCATAAATCCAAAGGCGTCCATCCTTATGGGCGCGGCGGACTAGAAACAAGCGATGATTTGTATACGGGGAGCGTTGGCGAAAAACCGATCGAGTCATCCTCATACGCGTGTGCGATACCCGCCGCTTCCGTTACTACGTGAGAGCAAAAGTCTTGTGCGTGAGATTCTGCTGCTGCTCGCGTGGGCACTCGAATGGCGAATCCGTAATCATCATATCGATGACATTTGGAGGACAGTTCTTGTGGCTCATCGGATGCTCTGCAAAACTCCTTGCCTGTACACTGTAGCTCGAATCCCCACGAGTCAAACGTGACAATCTCAAGCTTTGATGGCATCTCCAGCTGTACGATCAGAAGACCTTTTCCAGTGTTGGCGTCTGAAGCGTAGGAGCTGCATGATAGCCGTGGTAACCAAAATAACAATACCAACAATCGAGACCGCAAAACCCGCTTTGTCTAGACTGCAGACGAACCACAAGTACGGCACTCTACCTGCTCGGTCTTGTCTGCTAGGAGGTGTGCTATAGGAAACCCCACTTCCCAGAGGCGTATGCAGATATCCACTGCAAGAGGAAACACTCCGTCGAGTCAAAACAGCAATAGCTATGAAACCCCCAGCGAAGCATGTATCCAGGATAAAGCTGATTATAGCGAGTACAGGATGGCCGCCAAGAAAACAAGTCGAGATTGCGTTGATCAAGGTGTAGAGAACGGCAGCGCTTGAGATTCCTTCGATAGCTTTTGATGAAGCAGAGATAGGGAGTTTGTGCTGCGTGAGGTATGAGAGGAAGTAGCCGTAGATGCCGACGATGGCTCCGGCGGCGCATAGACAGAGTAGGTATAGTGTGGTCTGTACTATTCTTTGAATTTCGAGCTTTCCGGAACGCATGGTCTTGGGTCAGAGGAGACTTGCGACTAGGTAGAAGCAGTTACGCAGTCTGCGAAGAAACAAGGGACGAAATTTGATGGTAGTGGCAACTTCGATGGCTTCTCAAGATCGCTGTGGAGGTGATGTCCATTTAGTAGTGTGTAGGAAACGGCATAGATGAGGTCAGCCTTGGACTTGGTGTTCTAGGCATGTCCTTGGCAGAAGCATCAAGGATGAGCATAGCCACAGAGCTGGATGAAGATACACCTAAAAGCGGTCGGATCTGCACCCCTGACTCAAGAAAGGTCACCTAAGGTTATAAATAGGTGATCGCATCGTGGGGACAAGTCAAGATCTTCTCCAACCTCATGTTTTGCGATTCTGACCCTGGCTTCACTTGCATGATACACCTTGGCGTAGGAGTTCCAGGATCAACCAGAGGAAAATCTTTCTCGTAGACCGACGCTAGCATGGGCAATACACATCACCCCCCCACGACTTTACAGCCGGTCTGCAACAAATTCTGTTTTGCCTCTGTACGAGCTGTAGAGCGAGACCAAGCTCACTCAACCTCCTTCCACCTCGCCTCAAGATACGCCACCCTCGCAAAGTCACCCCCACCCTGACTTGCCACAGCAGCAGCCTGTTGCCCATACGCAGCGCCCTCCACACCCCACGGAGTAGCAAAACCATGTCCCACAGATGAATTGCCGTACGTAGTCGTATACCTCGGCAACGGACCATAATGAATTCCACTTGCCGTAGAAGACATGCGATCCAGATTATTGTAGAATGAACTATTCATATTCAATCTTTTTTGCTCGAATAAACGCATCTGGGCTGCAGCGAGTAGTTGATCCATCACGGGAACCGTTTCGATAAAAACTTGCGTGCGGTGTTCGCGATAGGCGATGAAGTTTGCGAGTGCGGTTTCGTCGGGGAGGTAGTTGTTGTTGGCATCCCTGATATTTTGGATAGCGGAGGCTTCTTGCACGGCTCGCCAGCGTCGGCGCATGTTTGCGGAGTAAAGCTCACAGAGATGTTTTCCTGGTGAACTCTCATGGTTGAAGTAGTGGGAGAGTGGTCTTTCGCGTAGTACATCTTCGTAGCAGGCTGGACAGACACCCATGGGATCGCCTCTGAGCCCGATGCGCCAAAATTGAGCTACTTGTTGTTTCACACCCGTGCACGGGAAGATGGAGGCCATGCGCCGGATGTGAGTAATAAACTGCTCTGTATCTGGTGTTTCAAGCGCAACATGGTAACGTATTATGGTCTTTGCGAAGTTGGGAGCCTCTGCGCAAAAGTCGCACATCTTGGTCGTGCCTGGAGGACACTTCTTCTGGGGTTGGAAGTAGATCTGCATCCCAAAAGCGCAGATGAAACCACTATAGCATGTGGGACAGACATCGAAGTTGTTGCAGCCTCCTTTGAGAGTATACCATTGTACACCAGCCATGCCTGCACCTTTGCATATAGGCGTCTTTATCTGCACTTTGCAGGTGTTCCAGAAGATGTCGTGCTTTTCATATCCCAGTGCTGCTCCATAGGCAGCTTTCAATGCTGGGATTGCGAGATCGCATATCAGCTGAGTTTCCTTGTTCTCCTTCGGGAGAAGCTTTGGTTTGTACTGCTTGTCGAAAGCAGTCAAGGCCATTGAGTCCAGGAAGCATGTTTCGCAGATCACAACACTGACATCACCAGAGATAATCCCATACCAATCTCGGCTTGCCGAGCTGACTGCGTTGAAACCAGCACAAGAAGGCTTACTCAGGCGACTTGTCGCTGCAGCGACGAACTTGGGCCAATCATTCACTTCTGAGTGTTCAGCAAATGCCCTTGTGATATTGGGAACAGCGATATCGCAAGCCCAAGTTTGTTTCTGAGTTGGCTGATGATCATGGAGCCTGAACCGTCTTTCGAAGCTCGAGCCGACGATGAAAGCATTGTAACAAGCCTCACAAGCGACAAGTCCTGGAATAGCATTGTGCTTTGCTTGGAACCATTTCAATCCGACCAAAGCTGTTCCAGAGACGCCTCCCATACCATGACAATTGGGTATCTTGGCCCTTACTTCCATGTATGCTTTGACTGACTGCAGATCGCGCGTGGTGACTGCCTCTGGCCATAGTTTATCGGCCATACGAGGTACACCAAACATGCATCGAGCAGCATAATTCTGACCTGGTTCCAGCTTACCAGTAAAGTCGAGCTCGAAGATGCTGTTCCGAACATAAAACTCAAAGCATCTGCTGCAGGTGGAGAAACCTGGAACGTCGATGTGTCGGAACCAGAATGCATCATGCAGTAGATTCTCACCACTGGGACATCCTCTCCCAACATAGTAACCTTTCTTCTGGCCTGCTGGAAGACATGATGGTGGAGAAGATGTGGTGAAGAAGTTACCGCTCAGTGATGGAACTAGATGAGGGGGGTGTTCGATTCCTGAGTATGATTTATATGGTGCTGGGCGTCTGCCATCAGCCTGCTCAGGTCGATGATCCGATATCTTGGGTGAGCTGCTTTGTGATGCGGAGGAGTAGTCTGCATTCAAAGTCTCGAATCTATTCCTTAGGTTGTGCATTGGATCCTCATGACCGGAACCATAAGAAGACTGTTGAGCCGATCCTTGTGAAGGTTTCCGAGGTGGCAGTGGAGGGGGTCGATTGGATCCTGACTGCGACGAGGGATTGCGTCGTGGCGGTAATGGTGGTCTGTCCATAATGACCGTTGATGACTCACGCCTCGAGGTATCCTGTGACGTGGGAGATGATGATGGTGGTATACACGATCCAAAGCGGACAGTAGAGGCAGCGGAGGAAAGTGCTCGAGCGGATCCAAAGAAGAAGACATGCAATCAGATCCGGACGGAACAGTGTCTATAGCTGGTGAATGGCATGAGTTCATCGGCAATATCAGCCTCAGGTCATCCTGAAACCTGGCGGGGACTTCGGGAAGGAGCGCCAAGCATCTCCAGTGCGCCACGCTAATCTGTAGAGGTGTCAAAAAAGCGATGGACGATGTAGGAGAAGCTGAGCACCTTATATTATCATCGCTAGGGTTCGTATCACATCGGGCACTCCGAGAGTGCCAAGCATGATCGGCGCTTAAGCATATACCAATCGCAACCCGACCTGCTAAGAAAAAAGGTTAAGGAATCTGTAGAGAATGCTGAAGATGCGTGGCAGCTCGGTGTGGAATATGAGCGGATGCGATCTGAATCAGTGCGAGTCGCTTATGTATAATCCTGTCGTCTTATCCCAACGCGACGGTGTAATGTAGACCAGCGAGGCGACATCGAGAGTATGCCGGCTGGGTAACGCCCCGGATGGCGAAGGAGTATCAGCATAACAACGAAAACGAGAGACGTAGAGACGACCAGACTGTAGTCATAGGATGTAGTAATGGGATGTGATCATGTAATGGAGATGGCTTAGAGGACTGTAGATGCTTAAACGTTCAATAGTTGATATAATGTATCATCAAAACAACTGCAGCCTGCAATTGGTGACATGTTCAGCGCATTTTAGGAGTGAGGTGCTGAGTTCCATCTGATTCAGATGCGCGAGTGCAAGGCTAACATGTCGACTAACACTATACCTCGCGAACGTGTCATGAATAGTGTACACTGTTTTCCAACCGCGCAGTCTAAGAAGCAGATGGAATTGTCACAAGATGGCCAGTTGGGAGATGGCTGTCAACGGTGGACTAGGAATGCTCTTGAATCACACATCAATCGCGTGTGTAGGAGATCGTTGATACCAAAGTGAGGGTGTTTACATGGGATAGTGAAGTCTGTAAGCATATAAACAACGAAGGATACTTTTCCACTGCCATAAAAGGTCACTGGTCAAACGGTCAGGAGGCAAGTGTATCACGCACGTCGGGTTACCTACGGGAGTAATTTGTTGATCGTGGCCCTCCATGGATAGGAAATCGAGTACGACTTGAAGGTCCGGGCCATTGTCTTTTTCCTTTTTTTGTCTCGATTTTTTCTCTCATACCACAATCTCTTTCTTGTGTTATCGTGAAGGAGGAGGAGGTGAAAGTGTAAGAAGAGATGACCGCAAGTAATGAGTTGAAAGCGTGAGTGGTATTTTGTTCAAACCTCATCCAGAGCAATCATTTCGCGGTGAATGTTTGATCAGGTGTCTTTCATCTACCACTCTTGCCTTTCTTGGACATATACCCAGATCGCCATTCAATAGAGAAGCAAAGATGCATGGCAGGAAAGTCACTATGTTGTTGTTCTACAGTGTTTGATGTTTGGCTGCTTGAGCTGGGATATGACTGCAATGACCCCTGATGTCCACATATTGCAACAATTAGACGGCGCCGACGACATGGAAGATTTAGTAACATCTAGCACCAAGGGTAGACATAAGAATACAAGACCATAATCACATTCTACCCATCTCCCACACTTACCACTCTTCACTTACTATTTTCTTTATGTGCGAGCTTTTCCGAAAGCGGAAATTCCTTAGCGTCGTCATGCCGGACTCGTCAACACAGCTTCACTTACGGCATTACGATGTTTACGGCGACTCGAAGCCCGCGTCTCAATTGCTTCGCCGAGTCATCTCTCCATCACCAAGCAAGATGAGCCTCATCCGCCAACTCCTGGAATCGATTCCAGAGCGCGAGCGTGAGATGGAAAAGGAAGACTACTCCAAGTGCACCTTACGCGCAAAGAAAGGATACGATCGCCGCAGTGGTCGCTCGATCATGGTGTTCAAGATAAGTCGTCCAAACAAGAAGAAACAGCCTTGTGGTATGGTCGACTGTCGGGTTTGTGGAGTCTTCTGGCGTAAGTACTCCTTTGATATCGTTTCATGCGACCAGGTATGGGTTCGAAAGGACAAGTGAGCTGACCTTGACTAGGCATGGAAATGGAAGATCTCGAAAAGCGTGTTCCAGGCTTCGTCTCGGAGCAGGTCGTCCCCAAACAATCGTTGCGCAAGAGATTGGGTACATCACCGGCGCCGTCCACGACTGGATCTACCACGTCGACCTTGACTGAGTTCACCGAGATCTCCGAAATCTCGCAAGAGCTGTTGGGCCACAGCTTCGACTCCGGAATCCCTACGCCTTCATCAACACAATCTTCCGCCACATTTTGCGACTCATCAACTGCAAGCATACAGTCGACTCCCACCAAGTCTCTCAGGAACAGCAACCTCAACGGACCACACGATCTGCCGTCCCCTTCTTCTTCAACAACATTGGCCGACTTGAGTGGTGACTCCAAGCTCTTCAATGGCCAACATCTGCCAGTTCATCCTTCGGTACCGGCCTTGAACGAATTCAACTTGCGTAGCCGCCGTTCCGCCATCTTCAAGAACTCTGCCCCCTCCGTCGTTGGCTCTTCGAGCGCCATGTCCACCTTGACCCAATTCTCGGAGCTGGACACTGCCTCATCACTCTCGACCCCACCAAGCAGCCTCTCTTCGATCCCACTTACCGTATCTTCGGCCAGAACCACCAGCACACCCCACTCGCCATACAAGGTCATCAAAGTCCGCAAGCACAGAGAGATGACTAAGTTTGCCGATGGCTCGGAGTGGATTCCAGCAACCCTTGCGCGCGTCCAAGAGTACATCGCCTCTCAAGGCGAACGCCGTCTGCCTCTATCATACCGTCTAATTGTGGCCAGACGCGCTCTGGGTGGTTCGAGAGTGGGCGCACAGTTCGAGAAGGGCATTCGAAAGGTCGATCTCAAAGCTGGAGTAAAGCCACAGACCAGAGCCGAGGTTTTGAGCCGTGGACTGAAGTACTTCCCTAACGATGGATTCCAGACGCAGAAATCCTAGAGGGAATGGTGTTGTAAAGTCGGATATTGAACATTACATTCATACTGAGTGTCCAGAAGAGATCAGCACCACTTGTACTTGCCTATTTTGCGTTCAATCAACCAAGGAAGGCTCATGGGATATCGAGGGATGAAAGGCTTCGTTGGATATCCTGGCCGTGGTTGGTTGTAGATCGCAGAGAATTCACCAAGCAAGCAGCCTTCAGCTGTCAATCGAAAACGCAAAGTCATCTTTCTTGTCATGTTCTCGCACCAGATAATGGTTTGTCGGCGAGCAAGAAATGTGACAGACCGCATGCGGCAGGAACTGACGTCCAATCCGTGCCAAGCATTCCAATCGCCTTCCATTCTCTCTGCGACAAAGAAGGCACGACCGAAACGCGACTCAACAATGAACCGCCAAGACGGACACGTTTGCTTCCACAGTCGACAATGGGAGAATGTATAGCTGTCGGTTAGCCGACTCAGGAGACCAACACTGAGCTCACGAGCTGTCGTGGTCGCCAGGAGATCGACGGCCGTAACCATCGAACTAGAATCCTCTTCTCCACTACCACCCACCGGCCAGTTGTGGCAGCTGACTGACCGATCATTCAGGCTATGATTGTCGCGCAGCATGTCGAGGCTACTTTGGCTCTCCGGTGGCGATCTGGCGAGCAGGCACGACTTTCCGTACGTCGAATGGCCGCGGCATCCTTCTGTCGCAAAGTTCAGGATCCTGAACGGTGGTATAGCTTCAGTCGACATGTTAACACTATGACACGCAGACATCATATAGGGAAAGAGCTTGGACAGAGGAACAATCCCAAATGATCTATCGAAAGCAAGTTGAATGCCGGAGCTCCACGCACATCGGATTCTTCTGTTGGACTAGTGCGTCGACTGCTTAGGGCGAGGCATCCCTCGCGTAGCTTTAATGCTCGTTCACAACGTCTCGCGCTTGTACAGAGACCTATTGGGAGGTTGTTCCGAGCATGAGAAGGTAGGACATCTCACAACAGGACAAGGCAACTCTTCCATATCGTTTTGGGTATCGCAGCCAGCACGATTCGGATAAACCGGCGAACACTATTCGCACTTGCACAGCTGCCAGAGCATTGTCTGGACGGGAAAATGGCCAAAGTACGTAGCTTTTAGTATTCATACAAATGCATCTAGTCGCATAGGACTAGGAAGCCTATATTGGCGAACGCGAGTGATCTGCAATACAGGGACGTTGACACCTGGTGGACCCAAGCAAGCCTTCTCGCCAATCTACAGGCAATAGAGAGTCTCCTTGATGAGTTCTCTGAATGATGCGACAAGCAGGGCAAGGTCTCTAGTAACAACAAAGCGCAATTTTATCAACCACAAAAATAAGCAGAAAGCAATACGAACAGAGTCGCTTGACAACCACTATACAACAGTCGCGGGAGATCAAAGCGTTGATCATTTTGGCCAGAAAGTTTGACAAAGTGTTTACCCGAAGCCCCGAACTTCCAAGCTTTCAAATGTGCGATCTTCATTCCACCCCCTCTTCTCTATATCATTTCTTCCAGACGACTAGTCCTTTCATCAAAGAACTTCCACAAATCGCGATGATCAAGATGCTGTCACTTCGCTTGGAAGTCGTTGGTTGTCCACGCCACGAGTACATGTCATTCGTCGCAAAAGAATCGCCGGGGAACCCTTGTTAGCCTGCTGCAGATGAAACAAGCCACGGGTCAAAAGCTTCTTCGACGAAACCTCCTCTTGTTAATTTATCCTTCACTCGCTGGCAGGGCTGTGATAGGGCTTTGCTATTGTAGGGCTCTAGACGTGGTTTTTGAAACGCAATGCCCTGTAGGCTGTCGGCTGGAAGCACGCTTTTACGCTTAGCATGGATTGTCTCTTCCGTTTTGTCCGTCTTTGAGGAGAAGGTGAGTCTGTCCATATATAAGCAAGGCCCAAGTTTTGGTTTTGTCCCACATACTGCATCGCCTACCTTCTCTTCAATCCGAACCAAAGCCAGACTGGTGCTGTCTTTGTATACCATCCTCTCTTTACAACTCAGACTCTCCTTGACGCTCGTATACTTTTCTCTCCCGGCAATATGAAGTTCATCACTGCTGCTGCCGTCATGTTGGGCGTTGCCTCGGCCGCCCCCACTGCCACTATTGAGAAGCGCGCTCAACAGTGCGGTCAATGGGACAGCAAGGTCACCGGTGCCTACACTCTGTACCAAGACCTGTGGGGCATCTCCGGCTACACTGGCTCCCAATGCTCCGACATCAACAGCCTGAGCGGAAGCACCCTCAACTGGTGGACCACGTGAGTGTTCCCTCAACCCTCAACTCCTACAAAGACAGCAACAACTAACAACACCCACAGCTGGTCATGGGCCGGCGGCTCCAGCCAAGTAAAATCCTACGCCAACGTCGTCACAAAGACCAACCCCGTCCAAATCTCCAAAATCAAGTCCCTGGCCACAAAATGGACCTGGGTGCAATCCGGCAGCAACGTCGTCGCCGACGTCGCCTACGACATCTTCACCTCCTCCACCGCAGGCGGCAAGAATGAATTCGAAATCATGGTCTGGCTGGCCGCGCTCGGTGGCGCAGGTCCCATCTCCGCAACGGGCAAACCCATTGCTACCGTTACTGTTGCTGGCCACAGCTGGAAGTTGTGGTATGGCAGCAATGGTGTTAACGAGGTGTACTCGTTCACGCCCAACGGAAACAATGTTGCTAGTTTCAGTGGTGATTTGATGGATTTCTTTGCGTACTTGATCAAGAGTCAGGGATTCAAGGATAGCCAGTACTTGATTTCTGTTGGTGCTGGAACCGAGCCTTTCACCGGCTCTAACGCTAAGCTTACTTCTTCCTACAGCTTGGTTCCTGCTTACAAGTGAAGCATTGGAGCTTGAGCTGTGGAGTGGTCTTGATGGCTGGCTGCCGACTCAGCTGTCGGGATACGCGCAGGAGCATTCGTCGAGGGCGACTGTTTCATTTTTCGAACCTCAAGTACGTTAACTATCAGATGCGGTTGCCAAAATGCAAATATGTATACTGAGACAACCATTCACCTGTCGCCTCCCTTTCCTGATGCCTAGATCTCCATTGTAGGACTTGGAACATACGCGATTGTGATGGGTCTACTTACTCGGCCTCTTGTGAGCGGTAAGAGATGAGAAAGGTTATGATTCATCTGTTGTGCTCTTATGTCAAATCACATGCACGAAGATCAAATGTTCCTTTTTCGTGTGTAATCTGGCCGCAGGTCTAGAACGAGTCTTGCGAAAGTGCTTCTGAACATTTCCTCCCCGACATATCACAAGTTGAAATAACAGGATGGAGTTGACAGAGACACGCAATCTGCATGTCACTGTAGAAATCAAGATATTCTCGTCATACCATTCGGTGTACGAGATAACAAACCGAAGAATCGAATGCAGCACTAACCATAGACACCCGGATCAACTGTGTGGTGATCAAGACCTCCTTGTTCCAGGAGTCGGTAACACTACTCATACTTCCCGTGCAGAATCCTGCTAGTGGAAAGAAACCCGCGACATGCCACGTCAAAAAGCTCAAGCAAGAGAACAGGAGGACTTCCCACCAAGAGCCTCAGGCCGAAAAAAAAGACCGTTGACATGGGCGTCCCACTGGAAATATCAGAGAACCGGAGAGCCCGAGACGTTGAAAATCTGGATTGACGTAGGGTCACGGGGTACTGCAAGGTCGTGCAACGGTATGGAAATGTGGAAAGCATGGCTTGGTGACGACGACGTGCAGTGTATGATGTGACTCACTCCGACGGCGGAAATAAGCTGTTGTAAAGGAATTTGCTCTACTCTCGGTGTAACAGTCGATTACAGAAGACATGTCTGGTCATCACAACACGACGTACCATTCAGAAGAGCATTATCCTTCGACGACACCTATCTTTGTTGCTATGCCCTAAGAAGAAGGCGCATGATGGGATGTGGAGGTTGAAGAGGTCTCCCCGAATTTCACCCCGATATAGATTAAACTACATCGAGGCCAGTATAAACCGTTGTGTGGACAAAACGTCTCATCGTACCATCTATTGCGTTTCAAACTCAACGATGGAAAGTCGGATAGGAAGGGTTCTGGGTTTGCCACATCAGTTCTATGCTGCAGGCGTGCGCATCTGCACTGGCTGGACTTGCTTGTGTGGTATACTAGGTGCGTCCAGGCTGGCCAGAATGCCAGTGCAAATTATCTGACAGACATCCACTGACATGACACGACATGGCCAGAACGACCGGAATGCAAAGATGAGAAGAAGAGAGCACTGTGGCTGTTATTACATTGCTTGCTGGATGTTGATGGCATCAAGCTGACAGAAAGATCTAGCATATCGTTGCAAGAAGGGGTATCAGAGAGCAAAAATGCCTTGAGAAGGAAAAGAAGAGAGAATATATGCACAGAGAAAAGAATCCGCTAAAGAAAATGCAGGAAACAAAGAGATGAAGCTGGTCAGAAAGATTGTAACTGGTGCCTCAGGGAAGCCCTGACATGAACCTCCTTGGGCCTGCCACTTTCTAAATCTCTCAATGCAACTGTTTCCCAGTCGGAGTTGTTGCTGGTCAAAGGGCAAAAAGAGTCGGCTAGGGAGATCGGCTTCCTTACAATTGTGGCGACGCTTGTTGTGTGACTCTTTTTCTTGCCGTTGAACATCCTGGATGCAGAGTGGAAAGAAGAGGTGCCGTCGAATATGACGTCTTTGTCAAACTCGTCCCAGGACATGGAAGGTGGAATACAGTCACCCCGGCGGGATGAGTTATTCGAAGGTATGATACGGGCTTTCTTGGTCGAGAACCAGGAGGTTATTGCTGTCCATAGGGGGCGCAGCGACGGAACGCAGGCGCATAACTACGTGTCTGGGTTAGTGTTGTACTACAAGGTAAGACCTGGTGGATTTGAGACTTACCAGGCCAACATAAATCTCGACATCTGCACAAATCCACAAAGGTAGTGCTCCCCAAGTCGAGTCCTTGGTTCCGAGGAAGGCGCGGTAAACATATACCTCTCGAACAATGCCAGCAGCTGTCGCGATTGTACCCAGGGAAAGTAGCACCGTTGCTGCCAGCCTCTGCCTGAACACGACATTCAAGCGAGCGACGATAGGCAGTGGTAGAATGTTGACGACAAAGTCCATCACAGTCAGCAATGCTCCGATTGTGGTGATGGAAACACCTTCGCTGAAGCACTGCGAATTATCTCCGATAGTCGTCCAAGCCGCATGTATAGGTCTGCAAACTGTCAATGCCATGCTCATAGGAAGTGAAACTGACTCGGACATACCGGCATCGAAAAATGGAGACCAACACGGCAACCAGACACAGAGCAGCATTCAGGCCCATCACAACATAGATGATCCTTCTGAGGCCCTTCTCGGCCACGTCTTTGATGAGCCATAGGTAGAACAGCAATAGTGCCATTCGCACGCACGTTCCGCTCACGATGAACAGTATCTTCGCGGCCAAATATGCTTTGACGGACGTCGATAGTACATCCAGAGGGATGTTCCAGATATGTCGATCCCATCCATAATGTCCCTGATATTCGTGTTAGCGGACTTGTGCGTGGTCACGGTCATCGCTAGCGGATTGTCATACCATTGCCACATTCACAACTGCGCCAAATCCTACTGCAAACATCTAGATTTACCATGGTAAGCCAAAGGTCAAGATGTCTCAAGCATTGAACATGGTCCACGTACGAATGCTAGTAGTATGAACAAGTCATCCCACCATAGGCCTCGCTTGGCTCCCATACGCATCCGACAGTAATACCGAGCCACTACCACAACGAATGCAAAACCCATCAGAAGGTCATTGCCAAGGATGTAGCCTTTGGCTCGATCCGAGAGGCCGCCCCGGTCCATGGAGGATGAAGAGACACCAGATCCACAGGGTACACGGCCGTAAGATTCCAAGATCCAGTGATGCGGTACGTCTGTGCACTGCAGAAGGAGGCTGGGTGGTGGTGTAGTTGTCCCGAGTAGTGCCAAAAAGTCGCGTCGCGCGTCGGAAACCTAGAGGGAGCTACTGCACGAGAAATGCAGGCAGGGAGTTTATTATACTTGGTCGCCTTGACTTTTAAGGTGTATCGAAACCTGGAGCTGTCTCAGTAGTAGGTGCGTAGCCACGAGCCAAAGCGTGTACGTATAACGTGGATTTTCGCTGCCATGCCTCTTTAAGCAGATCGAGCACTTAGCTCTCAGCAATATAACGACTTTCCGGGCCAGTTTTGTCTCGGTCAGAACGCCTGTTGGCGACTGACGGGTGGCCTTCACTGTCCAGGACTGCTGTCACGATGATTTGCTCGGCATTCTGAACAGTCCAACGGTTGTATTGGGCGGGATGCCGTCTTTTGCGCGTCCGCTGATAGAACGCCCAGGGCAAGATCAAACGGTCAAGACAACTAGTCGAAGCGACACTCGAGGCGCAGGATTAGATTTCTCTCACCAAAAGTAAATGGATTGATGGTGGGAAGAACCCATGTCAGGGTTGTCGATTGTAGGAACGGGCGCGGCAATGCAGTCAGAAAAGTGTTTGCGTGTGGGTCTTGCTTTATCAAATGTCTCGCAAAAGCGTACGGCCGTCCGTCATCTCAAACAATAGTGACCTCGCGTGCAGGCCTCAGGCTCGAGCGGGCCTTGATGAGGTAGAGACATTTCTCGTGTATTCTTGCAGAATGTCACGACGAGTGCCGTGTCGGTCAGCATGCGAACCACGAGAGAGGCGCCCAGGTACTGAGTACACCATGTGGTGGAAGAATCCTTCGACCGCTTGTCATGGACTAGAAAATTCGAAGAAAACGGCGATGAACAAGTCTTGGGTCTCGAAGTGCAGGCCTCCAAAGAGCAACAGGAAGGGAAGTTGAGTGCCAAGCTGTCCCGATGGAAGGAGCCGATCCGACTGTGTCCGTGCGTGTCCAGACTATCACTTGGTCCGTATCGACAACGTCTGCTCATATCAAGGCATCTTGGTGCTGATCGATGATCGATTTTCATTAACGAAGAACGCCGCTGGAGTCATCGTTCTTTGTTCGCAAAAGAAGCAACTTGCAAGACTCTTCCTTGTCGAGTTCCGCTGATGTGGGTGACTGGTGCGATGCGCGTCTCGGTCGGCAGTGTGATCTCGTTGTCAACGGCCGCACGCCATGTCGGTTCATTTGATTGCGCCCACGAGGGAGACCCAGAACATGCTCGTTCAGGAGCGGTTTTCTCTGCGAGCGCCCCTTTTGGAGGTCGGCTTGTAAACGACGACTGTGGCTCCCGGGTCCAAGCGCTTGAGGCAAACGTTGACACCTTACGAACCCGTCGCAATATTGTGAATCACTCTGCGACAATGGACTTGCGCTGAGTGTTTAAGGAAGTCTCGCTTGCTGCTGCTTGCAACAAGCCTTTTTTTGCGTGTCCGCTTGCTCTTGGTTGCGATGAAATCTTCTCTCTCGCCAGGCTCGCTGCCTGAGGAGAGTCAGGCACAAACCAAGTCGATGGTCGCTACCCGAATAGCGCCTGGCGCACGGTTCTTCTTCCCTGCATAAGGTTGTTGCCAGCCTCTTCGCAACCGGCTACTCGCAAGCTCGTGGTAAACAAAGCTCTGGCACTGCAGGTCCGCTCCAGAACTATCCCTATCCCCTAGCGAAGATCGGTCTTGTATACTGACCCATGGCTGGATAAGCTCGTATCCACTCTCGTCTCGAGTCATTCTGAACCTTGGTCGCAAGATGTTCTCTGGTAGGTAGGTGCTATGCCAGACGCGCAACGCGACCAAGATTTGGTGTGGTAGACCTCGACTTCAAAGCACTATGACGTTATTCTGGTACTCAAGCATCACTCAGTCGACGAACCCTAAGCGCAATTTGCTGGCTTCGCGTTGATATCTTATCACATCACGGATGTTCAGAACCTTCAAACACCTGATCATGCGGTGCGATTGCTGGAAATTACTCGGAGCATAACAAAATATGGTGATGAGTGTCAGTTCTCATTGGTCCGGACCATCACGACTCCTTACGATGAGGGAACGCTAAGCCGCAATCCAAGCCAACGGCTGTAACCTCACCTTGAAACTTCACGCCTTTCATGCATGCAACGGAGCTACTCATGCACGGCACGCCCTGGCCAAGGGCTATTCGTACACCATCTCGCAGGCTCTCTCGGTATACCATCATCCCTGCGCCACTGCAGAAACTGTCCCATGCGAACAAGATCTAGGTTGCCGTATCGTCCGGATGGATCGCTCCATGATGATGCATCCACGGTACACTATCCGGCTACGTCGTGCTCTTGACTCTTTGCCCAGGAGTCGAACCTTCGAAACCGAGGATGTAGGGTTGTATATAATGAGCTGGGAAGGACGTTGGTGCTCAAGAGGTTACCCAGAGATCATCCTTTTTGAGTTTGAGCACATTCGTTCTCCTTGCAAAGATGCCTATCCTTCTCACCTCTCTCTTGGGCACCGCAGTGGGCTCTGCGGTAGTCTACCTCACATCTCCTACTCTGGCTGCTGTTCTTGCCGGATCGACACTTGACTGGATCACGATTCACTCCTTAGCGATCGACGCTCTTTTCGCCATCCTGATTTGCTTCTTCATCCTCTGCTACTTGGAGACTAAGTGGATCGCTGTCAACCAATCGTTCCCCTACACTTTCCATCTCAAGAACAACCTCGGAAAATCCTCTTTCGATTTTCAGTTGGTTGTGTTTGAGCTTTGGCATACGAACAAGCTCAACAGATATGGTCATATGGTGTGTCTCTTCTGCGAACAGCTTCTATGGCTATACATCATCAGAATCACGTTTGGGTTATCTGGTCTGGCATTGACAAACATCGCTTTGGGCATGCAAGCCTTCTCTTTCGGAGACTTCAGACTTGGCGTTGGAACCGCCGTCTTCAATGCTGCTTACTCATTACTCGGCATGTGGGCCTTTGATAGATTCGCACCAGTGGCCGCGATCGACATTTCCAAGATCGCGCTCTTCTGGGTGGTGGTTGTGCGCACCGCTGTACACGCTGCTGAGCCATTACCCCCAGTCTACGACAGCGAGACCGACTCGTTCGGTGAAACCTGGGGCGATGACGGCTATCATCTGATCTTCAAGAAGCCCTTCTCTGCTCTTTGGTTGTTCGTTCTTGGCATTGTTTCCGAGCTTGCTTCTGGTGTGCCTGGGCGTCTCTTTGGTACTGCTCTCTACAAGGCTCTCTACCGTGCTGGTGGTTTCCGCAGCAGCACACTCAAGGGTGTTGATACTGCCAGAGAAGAAGCTCTCTCGACGCTTGTGAACGGCTGGGCATCAAACGAGATGCTCGCGCCCTACTTCCTTAAATCGTCTTCCGTGGCTCCTGTGGAGAAGCTGCCTCTCGAGTGTTGATCACTTGTTGAATGCAGCGTTCATGCAACGAAATCTTCCTCATCCTTTCGTATCTCTTTCTTCCTGATTTCTCTTTGTTTCCATTCTAGCGCAGAGCTCATTTATAGACGGTTTTAGATTATGGGTTGGCGGCGGCGTCATTTCTTTGTTTTTTTCTCTATTTTTCTCGCCTTCTTTTCTTCTTTTCTTCGAATACCCCCAGTTGCGTTCATATAAGAGTTTTGATGTCATAGATTTCTATTTTTTCCTAGCAAGTCAATCTGCCTATCTCCAATCTTCAAACTTTCGGTTAATCTCTGCTTTTGATCAACTGTCCCCATGTCGTCGTTGTCGGCAACACAAGCCATGGATGTGGTCGCGGTCCGCGCCGTAAGCGTTCCCGTCCACGATGCATTTTGTTCAGCTGGGCTTTGCGAACCATCACAGGAGATCAAAGCTGACAAGCTCCCGGGACAGGGGAACAAGCTCGTGGTTTTTAAGGAGATGCTGCATGGACCATGAGTTTGGAGTACTTTGCCAAGATCGCCATTACAGACGCATAAAATGAGGACGTGCAGTCAGCAAGCTTCCTCGGAGAGAACGTCAGTCGCTTGCATCTTTCACAATCCTTACGTCCTTGCTCACCTATGTGTCCTCGGTACTACCTGGATTTTATCTTCAAAGGATGGACTGGCAGTTTGCTAATTCTACAGCCTGCTTCTTTACGCAATTCCTGCTGCTGATACCACAGATGAGATCCATCCTTGTGCTGATACTTTACTCCATGCTCCTCCCACAAGGTATCCGTGCTCTGCTTCACCGACCATCCGCTACGTACTGCCAAGCAGAGGCAGAACCTTACCACTGTTGCACATAACCTATTGATCGCCAGTCGTTGAAGCTTGTTCCTTCTGGATACACTTCATCTGCCATGCTCTCAGCTCGGGTTCACAGACGACGATCTGCCCTCTGACTCCAAAGGCTATTGGAATGATCGAAACCGTGTCTGTCAGCTGTTGGACAGATAGTGTTCTTCTCCTACACATCGGATAATACCTATGGAAGCGCAATGGGCTGCTCGGACCATGACAGTTGTTAGGAAAGACACTCTATAGTCAATGAGCCGGGCGGTGAAGCTCGAGCATTGTCTTGCATCCTGCTCCCCTGGAGATCTATTCACACTCAACTCCATCCGAACAACAGTGCGAAAAAAAAGGAGCGCAGGCAAATACCACCAGATCTCAAGACGCAACACATCAAAAAAAAAATATCAGTGTTGATAAACACTCCTATCGCAGCTCCAAAGTCCTCGACCTTTGTCGTGTAAGTTGTGACCTCACTTATGCACGAAGGCCGCGATCTTGATATCCCTCCAGTCTTGCTAAGATGAAAAGATGTTTTGGCAACTGTAGGGGAGACAAAGGTCATTCCTCAGCAACAAATTCTACTACAAAGCTTGAACGTATGAATACCGGCGCCTTTTCAACTGGTTGTATCAAGGCCTAGTCAGGATGCGAAGAATTACTGGGCAGCGTTGTGCTAAAGAAAGATGGTAACTTTTGCCATGCAGCTGCGAGAGATCATGTTTCGAAGTGTTGTGTGTGATATGATGCTCTCGGGGGATGACGACTACTTGTACTATCCTGTCGGTATGCTGTGGAAAATGGGTGTCCCTTCGTTGGCTGACCAAGACTAGAAATGGAAAACAGAGAATGGGGTATCTATTCGTGCAAATCATGAGAGTCGTCTATATCAACGCCATATAAACAAGTACAGCTAGATCGTGTCTAGTAAACCCGCCAACAAGTTGGAAAGCTAATCATACTCTCTTTCCACTCTTGACTCTCAGTCTCCCAGTACCGTCTCTCCCTCGGTAGAGCATCAAAACACCACTCACCAGACACCATCTTTCCACATCCATATCTCTTCTCCATTTCTGCACTTTAGGCACTTCTTGTCCATCACGGCGCAGTCTCTCGAGATGGCGAGAAATGTGTTCTGTACGCAAGATCCAAGCTTGTGAGCCAGAGAAAGTGGAACAGCAAAAGATGCATTGCGTAGATGTAGGAGGAGCAGGTGGAGGGATATAGCAGCGATCAGCTTGTTTGGCCAGTTGTGCGGGTGTATCAGGTATGACGATGCAGTCGTATCTTGCTGTCTTGGCGCTGGAGATTGTTGACGTATACTCGGAGGAAGTTTTGCAGTGCATACGGCGTAGATGTTGGATGAACAAGTCTTTGCGATTGAAGTCGTTGGTCTGTTGTGGTGAGGAAGAGGAACTGGGCTTGGGGACGCAGAGGTCACAGCGGTATGTACTGAGAGAAAGGTGTTGGGTGTTGAGGTGGCGCTTCCATTCGTTCTTGGAGGAGAAGGATGCTGGACAGCCGTAAGGAAGGAAAGGACAAGGGTATGCTGTCTTGACTTTATTGACTTGTTCCTTCCTGGGTGAGGACCTGGGACATGTATGGAAGTGCTTTATCGGTTCCTCTTGCTTGACGGGAGGACAGCCATGTCGCTCAGGGGAGCTGTTGGTGGAGACAATCGTAGGCGTGATCGTTGAGGAAGGAGCTGATGGTGCCTCCAGGATCAGTTCGGGGTGAACCTGCGCGTGTTCGGCTGCTGTCCATTCTCCGACCCCACGAGTGTCGAATGCCTGTTCCTCGGACAATCGGAATTGGGGGTACTGATCATGATAGTACGGTGGAGAGGTAGACTCTTGTTGATAGTATGCCGACACATCGGGTTGACATTGAACTTGGTTCAGTGATGTGAATGGTTGCATACAGTATCCTGCATTTGCTTGCGACCACGTAGGGTAGTGGTGACGAAAGTCTGGCCGGGGAGAAGGAGAATAGGCGATACTTGGAGTAGGAGAAGACCACGTGCCGCTGCAACTGTCGCTCATGTTCTCTGGAAAGAGCCATGACGAGGACGGTCGGGGAGAAGAGTATGCCGAGTCTTGCATCGAGGGAGCGTCGGTGGGCTTGTCAACAACAAAGCCAGAGTAGTACAAATCTTCGGTACCAATGTCCATGAAGTCAGACTGTACGATGGGGTTCATCTTCCTAATTCCATATATTGTGATTGGTAGCCTGGGCGGAGGAAGGGAATACGTTCAAGTACAAAATCTCGAAGCCTGAAGGTCGTTGTGTCTGTGTATGAATTATCTGCCAGCTAGCGTGGTGGTAAAAATCTAAGATCGGAAGCGTCAAGCTGGAAGCCAACAGAGACAGCTGTGAAGTGAATAGTTTTCAGGTAGGACATCAAATTGATTATGTAGATTTGAATGAGAGGTCAAGGAGAAAACAGGGTAGTCGATGTGGCTGGCAGGAGCATATATAGCAAGAGCGTGTTTATAGCAGCGAATGGGGGCAGTGACGACCAATCAGACCAGACCAACCATCCTACCTGCAATGTTCTGACAAGTGGCTGCCTTTTTCGCAAAACAGAACGCCGTCCACATCGGGGATTTGGTTGCGGCACAGCACCTACCTCTGCTGCCAGAACGACTTCGTGGGGACGAGCTGCAAATAATCCATCAAAGCAGGGTACTGTCGATCCGCTGACCGGTCTACAGAGAACAGTCCCCACGGCGACGGGATTGGCATGGGAAGGCGGGTAGAACAATTGGTCTGTCCAATAGCTTGCGATGGGCAAGTCCACCACGCAAATTGATAAGCAAAGATAGAGTGACCACTCCATGGTATCGGATGGCTTCCTCAGGTTGTGGCATACGGGATATGCACATGCGCATCAGGGGGCCGTGCTGCTGTGCATACATTGAGGGCTGAGTGAAGGATCAAAGGCGCCATCGAGAATTCTGCCCACCCTTGTCCGTCATGAGCATCCCGGAATACAAGACTCACAGCATGGCTTAGAGTTATTACAGTAGAAGGAAGTATCGATGTTGGCATGTCGCACTGTGCGTGGTATGTACAACCATGGGGCAGTGCGTATTGGATGCTTACTTCTTCTCCCGCTTCTATAAATTGCATCGCTCCTTTGTATGGTGAGGTACACACAGAGTTGTTCGGGAATGGTTTCGTGGAGCGAAACCGAAAGCGACACAGTTTTGTTTCGAAGGGTGAGATTGTTCGAGTTGTGGGAGACAGCAGAGATGCAATCATGCAAGATACTCGAGCGTGGGGACCGGAAGGTCATGCCGAGGGGAGTCGGCAGTGAAACTCCCCTCTTGGCATGCATGCACATCGGGGACCTTCATCTAAAATCGTCAGAGGCAGAGGCAGCTAGCCAATCTCGCAGCTATCCTTTTCAGTCATCCGGCGACTCGAACAAACATGTGATTGCAATCACCGCAACAAATCACCGAAGTTCTCGACTTCGAAGCCTGCTTTCCGAATCATGTTCGTTGTGCGTCAAAGGTCGGTGGAGGAAAATTGCAAGATTGCTGTCGTTATGTACGCCATGCAGGACGCGCAACACCATGCGCCATATCACTCGAAACCAAGAATTCGGTTTGCATTCGCCATGACCTTCTTCTCTCCCGGCGTGCGGCCACTGTTCTCATCGAACTTTTCCAAGCCCATGGCGCGTAGACCATTGACTCCCGAGACCGCCGAAATGTCTTCTTGCACCGCGCGACCGGCGTGCTGGCTCTCACCAACGCCTCCAGGGAAGTCTGGTGATGGAGTGCCTGCGTGGCTGTTATTAGCATGACTCTTGTTGTGTTTGTTGAGCGCTGTGGCTTACCTCTCAAGAAGCAGTCTCTCTGGCGCACCAAGTATTCGGCGTTGCGCTCGGTGAGTGGGCACGCAGGAATATAGAGCACGCTCGAATCGTTCTTCCCGGCATGAATCTTGTCGACAGCGTGAATACCATCGCAGTGCCAGACCACATAGTCACCAGGCTGTACTCTTGGTATGTGCACCATGGTCTCCGGTAGGTTGAGATGGGGATGGAGCAGTGCGTTGAGTTCCTGACCGCGTCCCAGATTAGCTCCCTGCAGCCACGAGCTTGGTTTGTCTTCGAGCTTCCAGTTGTCTGGTGAGAGGTACTCGTCGGTGTTGACATGCTCAAAGGCTCCGTTGACCGTGACCTGAGTCGAGGGACCATTTCTGGGAGTGAAGAAGGGGCGGAGAAGGAAGTATGCGGTCGCAAGCTGGAGTAGTGGGTTGACAAGTAAAGTGCCTTCGAATGCGCTGCAGTGAGACAAGCTCAACCAGCCTTGAGCTGCTCTGAATGCACTGCAAGCACCGGCTCCCTGGTAGAGATCTGATTCGACAGGCAAGCGGCTGCTCGACTCCCAAGGATCGTACTTCTCCCAACTACCTTGCCAGATATCCTGGTAGACTTTGCCTCTACCGTAACCAGTTTCTTCCCATCTTTCGCAGCTTCCACCGTCCACATGCGGCTGTCAGAAGGTTAGCACCATCTTAGCAACTGGATTCCAGTGACTGAGAACTTACACCGAGGGCGAATTTTGCATCACCGGGCTCACGCATACGAAGCCTATCAGCGTATGAGATTGGTGTGTCCGAGAACAATGCGTTTGGGTCTTTGGAGTGCCAGAAGCTGAGCAAAAACTGTTGTGCTTTGAGCAGGTTGGGATGACCTCTTGCCCGGATTTGTGATTTGCTCCAGTAGAGCTCGAACACTTGTGCTGAGAAGCCTAGAGAGGTGTGTCAGCTTGCTTACACATGTCGCGGGTGGAGAAGCTTGAATCTTACTTTTGGTCTGAGGATTTGCCTTGATGTACTCTCGTAGATCCTCCTTCATCTGCAATGCCTCAGCCTCGGGAATTGCACCTTTGATGACTGCAACACCACGCTTTCTGTATTCGCTGCTGAAGTGTCCGGATGGAGCATCGATTTCTTTGAAGTCAATTTGAGGTACAATCGACGAGCCAAGTCGCTTGATTTCCTGTACCTCGTCCTTCAATGTCAAGAGCAACCTGTCCCAGGATGCTTTGACGGCTTGCTCATTTCCCCGAATGAGATTTTCCTTCACGGTAGCAAACCGAGGCTCCAGTGCTTCGAATTGCTGACCGGATAGAGAAGCGAACGAGTCTGCGATGGTTCCCTCTGCCTTGCCGCTGATAGCCGTTGCAGCTGTACGCAGTTGGTTTGACCACCGGAGTTTGGAAAACCGGTATGGCTGTTTGATAGTCTGGATTGTCCGCAGCATCTCGTCTCTATGTCTGTGCAGAGATTAAAGATATAATTTTTGTCGTGTTGTATAACAAGAGATCGGGTGATAGTGTAAGCGATGGAACGATGACAGGGCAGTGTAACGACCCAATGCAACAGGTAGTTGTCAGCTAGAGAAAATGTAGGACGAATAGCACAAACTGAGGAGCTGATAGATAATGGATATGCTTGACGAATTCATAGGATTATAAGACTTGTCTGTTCTGACCGGAAGAGGAGGATGCTGATGTGGTGTGAGGGTAACCGGCAGCGGCACATCCAGATTGGGAGTCGACCGCTCTGGCTATGCGGACGGGCGGCGCCCGACAAAACTAGCCATGCTCCGCTGTAGCGGTTCCGACCAAAGCGTCATTGCGCAAAAGAATTCGGCGCGAACACCGAACAGCATTCGAGCTTGCGATGTGGTCAATACGTTCTCTATCAGAGAGAAGTTGACAGAAGTGGACAAGCACTCACCTTGCAATAAGCAAAAGTAGATCGTCGAGGACCCCGTCGGCAAAAGGAATGCCGCTTCTGTGGATCGAACACAGTGCCTCCAGAATACTCTTGTGGTAACAAGAAGGACAGAAGTTGACTTCAGTCTGGCGCTCTCCCAGATGAGCTAAAGCGGCTTGATAAGGTTAGCTATACTGCTGGTGGTATAATCAGTCTTTGTATCTGATATCACGACAACCTGTCTGGTACAAGGAAGTGACCCATCGCAAACCTGTTCGCGAATTTGCATAAGATAGTCAGAAAGCCTCCAAATGTTAGTGAGTTAATCCGGGCGTTTGATGCTCAGCAGTTTTGTTGGTGCTGTGTGTATAGTTGGTGATCATGGTTGAACTCGAAAAATTCTCGAAATTCTGAAGACGGAATTGTGAGCAGACCTTCCATCGTACAGTGACAATGTCACTTCATGAGTAAGCCCGAGGACTACAGTCAATGTCTTGTGATGCATATTAATTTGACAGCACGCATATTGCGGTCTCAATGGATCAGAATGAAGTTTCGAGACTCGAAAATTCATGTTGGAGAAAGCACCCTGGCGCTACAAAGCGGAAGAGCGATTGACACCTAGCAGTCGGAAACAGATGAGGGGTTCAGACATTGGATCTGGTTTCTTGTCTTCGGGCTATTGTCTTTCGCTGATGGTATCTTTGCTGTCGTTGCCTCGGTATTCATGGTGCCTGGTGCCTGAAGGCGTGGAGCTTGGTCTAAGGTGATCGTCGGCCTGTTGTGGAAGGTGCCTTCGGGCCGGCGATCACTGTCTTATCGGCCTTCCTGTTTTACGAACGAACATGCGGGCAGAAGAGGGGACGTTCATGACGCGACTCGAGCTGTATTGAACGACATCAATTGCTCACCGCACTTATATTCATCAGACCAATTCATACATCTTCTATCTTCATCATTCCCACCACCGTCTACAAATCGTGACGATGAAGCTTCTACCATTGTTATACGCGCTTCCACTTGTCGCTGCACTGGGCAGCAGGCAACACAAGCGTAATCTGGAAAGCTCAACCCTCGAGAAGGTATGATGCTCGAGAGGTCACCATGGCCGATTGCTGTAGCACATTTACTAACGCGTTTCCCAGCGTGACATCAATCCTGCAAAGCTCTATCCCGAATACAACATCTCTGTACCTGTGGACCACTTCCACAATTCTTCTCAGTACGAACCACACAGCAATGCCACCTTTGACTTGAGATACTGGTTCGATGCATCGCACTACCAGCCTGGTGGACCGGTCATCGTCCTTCAATCTGGTGAGACCGATGGCTCAGGACGCTTGACTTATTTGGCCAAGGGTATACTTGCAAAGCTCGCTCAAGCCACTCATGGTGTTGGTGTCGTACTTGAACATCGCTACTATGGCACTTCCTTCCCTACTCCTGACCTGTCTACCGAGAACCTTCGATTCTTAACCACCGAACAAGCGCTGGCCGACGAAGCATACTTTGCAAGAAATATTGTTTTCCCTGGACTCGAACATCTGGACCTGACCAGTGAATCGGCTGCATACATCGGATATGGCGGATCGTATGCAGGCGCTTTCAATGCTTTCTTGAAAGTTGTCTATCCGGACGTCTTCTGGGGAACAATCTCTAGCAGCGGTGTTACCAAAGCCATCTACGATTACTATGACTACTTCACCCCAATCGCCGAAAACGCACCTGCCAAGTGCATCTCAACACAAAAGACTCTGATCCACATTGTGGACACCATTCTCAAGAAGAACCAGACAGACCTCACTTTGCAACTCAAGACTGCATTTGGTCTGGAGAACGTTACCTACGACAACGACTTTGCCTCTGCGGTGTCGAATGGAATCGAAAGTTGGCAAAGCCGTAACTGGGACCCCAAGGTTGGAAGTCCTGCTTTTGACCGGTACTGCAGCAACATTTCATCCGACTTAGCACTCTACCGAAGCACATCTTCGCTCCGCCCTGTTGTTGAGTCTTTAATCGAGTCCACCAGTTACAAAGCTGAAGAAACTCTGGTCAACCGCATGCTCAACTTCATTGGGTATGTGAACACCACTTACGTGGCACCATGTGCCAGAGGGGGTAGCACCCAGGACCAGTGCTTCAGCAACCACAATGCGACATACTACCAGCAACACGACCTATCGTCATACACCTGGCGCTCATGGGCATATCAATACTGCTCCGAATGGGGTTACTTGCAAACCGGATACGCACCTCCTGGCCAGCTGCCTATCGTCTCCTCTCTGCTTGACCTCGAGTATGAGAGCATTGTTTGTGTTGAAGCCTTCAACATCACTACCCCTTCCGATGTTGATCGCATCAACAAGTACGGCGGCTATGACATTTCCTATCCTCGTCTTGCCTTTGTCGATGGATCGGCTGACCCTTGGCGTCCCGCTACTCCTCACGCATATGCTCAAGGTGCGAAGAAGCGCAACTCGACTTCTAGCGAGCCATTCATCTTGATCGAAGGGGCTGTCCACCACTGGGACGAGAATGGCTTGTTTCCCAACGAGACCACCGCTACCCTTCCACCATTGACCGTTGTCGATACTCAGAATCAGGAACTCCAGTTCGTGCAAGAATGGATGCTGGAATGGGAGCTGGAGCAGCAGGTCAAGGCAGCTTACCAGAAGCCAGTCACTCAGGGACCCATTTGAGTGGAGTCCGTTCGATGATAATTGATGTACCCTAACGATTGTATGATTTCACGATCAAGCGTGTTTCGACGCGAGTGAGAGAAGTGTCGATGTACAATTTGGAGGCGTATGAGCCTGTATTTCGATGGGTTGCCTATCGAGGATTTGGCTTCCTATCGGATGGCGGGTCCTCCACTAGCCGCTTCTAAATACAAGACCGGATGCTGCCGGCAGCGAGTACTTCCCAGCAAAATATCCAGGGCTCGCGCGTATTTGTGTTCTATTTGCTTTATCGACCAAACCTTTATTAGTCAATGCGAACCTTGAGGCTGCCTTTCTGCGCCATCTGATAACGTAGAGCACAAAAGTAGGAGGAAAACGCCGAGGGAAAGCGAAATCGATATGCGAAGGATGACGTCGGTATTGTCACGGTGCACGGTGTGAGCATTGGGGAAAACAATCTAAAACTCATCGCGATCGCGGGGCGACACAAACAAACAGGAGTCAGAAGAAGCAGGATTGGCAGAGGTAGGGGGCACGGCAATCTGATGCATGGCTAAGCGAAAGGAAACCACAGAATGCGACGAAATTGACAAAGGGTCATACTGATGTACACACAGGAACGAGAAAAGCATGACCGAGAAGGGAAAGGCAGTTTGCGGAGAGGGCTGGTTATTGGAAGCTGATGGCTTGAACAAGTAGCCGCTTTAGAGCCGTAACAGACCGTGGGACATGTCAAAGGAGAGGGCACCGCAGGGGGGAAAAGCAGGAATGACCATGGCTACTATAGATGAGCATGACGAGGAAATACGCACGCGCAGGTTTGAAGTACAGGATCAGCGGTAATAGGCAGGAGCGAGCACCGATTACAGGCAAATGCTTGTAGCGGACCTTTGAGGCAGGAGCAGGCTTGGAGCGAAAGCTTGATGATGTAACTTTGCGAGGCTCCCCCCCACGGTAATCTCTGACCTGAATCCTCGACCAGAGAACCTTGTCCTGTCCTATTCATTCAATTTGCTCTCTTCCTGTCCAACAGTCTGCCTATTCTCTCTCTCCACACACACCCTCATTCCCTCGTCTCCATCGAACGCCGGGTGTGCTTCCAGCCATGAAGAAGGCATTGCACAAACTCGTGCCCGGCCACCACCGCCGCAGTACCAGCGCCAGCGGAAACTACTCCAACTCAGACAACGGCACTCCCACATCTGCCAGCAGAGCCAGCACAGATCTGTCGGAGCGCCCTCGCCAGTCTCTGGATCAGGGAGCTCGCCCTGGCTCAAAGGCTCGCTTTGCTTCGCCGCGAAACTCGACCTCGATCGACACGCGCGGCTCGCTCGACAATAGCCGTGCCTCCACTGATCTCTCTCACCGCCGCCAGTCTCGTTCTACTTCACATCACAGACCTACACACAGCCCATTGGGCGCTTTCAGACACAAGCTCCGCCGTGGTTCTTCGTCCTCGTCGTCCAACGATGGCCGTCCCCTGAATGCTGCTGGCGAGCCCATGTCAAAAGCACAGCTACGTAAGCGCCAAAAGCTTCTGCAGAAAGAGGAGAGGCACAAGAAGGCCCAAGAGCATCTGGCTGCAGACCGCAAGCTGCAACAACAGACCCAAGCACGTGCAGAGGCCGAGGAAACCGGCGACATGAAGACCAAGTACGGTGTTCTGCCCCTCAACTACTACGCTCCCGCACAGCCTGCCGGTGAGAAGAAGGTCAACCTGCTCGAGCTGTCTGAGAGAGACGTTGGCTCATGGGTCACCTTCCGTGCTCGCGTCCACATGATCCGCCAGATCAGCAGCCGTCGTGTCTTTGTCTCGTTCCGTCAACAGACTGCTTCGATCCAGGGTGTCTTGCACGAGCACGCTGGTGTTTCGCTAGGTATGGTCTACTGGGCCAAGCATCTCAAGCTTGAGTCGGTCGTGCGTGTGCGCGCTGTCGTTCAAGAACCCAAGGCCAAGCAGGGCAAGATTACTGGCTGTTCCATCGGAAACCTCGAAGTCTCAATTCATGAGCTACACGTCGAGGGCTCCAGAACCGCCCCTCTGCCCTTCAACGTCGCCGAAGCTGAGGTCACTCGCGAACAAGCAGAGCTTACCAAGAACGCCCGTCAGCACATCGGTGACCGCACCCGTCTCGCCAACCGCATTCTCGATCTCCGCACCAACACGTCCCAAAGTATCTTCCGTGTGCAGTCTGGTGTCTCATCCTTCTTCCGCGAATACCTCCGTGGCCAAGGCTTCATGGAAATCCACACACCCAAGCTGCAAGGCGGTGCTACCGAATCTGGTGCTAGTGTGTTCAAGGTCGACTACTTCGGCAGACCGGCTTTCCTGGCTCAGTCACCTCAGTTGGCTAAGCAGATGTGTATTTCGGCCGACTTTGGCAAGGTCTTTGAGATCGGTGCCGTCTTCCGTGCTGAAAACAGTAACACACACAGACACATGACCGAGTACACCGGTCTGGATCTGGAGATGGCCATCGATGAGCATTACCACGAAGTCCTTCGTGTTCTTGATGGTCTCTTCAAGTTCATGTTCAAGAGCGTCTACGAGAACTACCGCCACGAAATCGACACACTGAAGAAGCACTTCCCTCACGAGGATCTTGTCTGGCTCGATAAGACTCCCATCATCCCCTTCGCCGAGGGCATCCGTCTCCTCAACGACTCTGGCTGGAGAGACGATCACGGCAACCCTCTTCCCGAAGATGAGGATCTCGGTACCCGCGACGAAATCCAGCTCGGAAAGGTCATCAAGCAAGTTTACGGCACAGATTACTACGTCCTCGACAAGTTCCCTGCAGGTGCCAGACCTTTCTACGCCATGCCCGACCCCAACAACCCCAAGATAACCAACTCGTTTGATATTTTCCTTCGTGGCCAAGAAATTCTCTCTGGTGGTCAGCGTATTCACGACGAGAAGATGTTGATCAAGCAGATGGAGCGATTGAAGATGGACCCCAGCACGCTGGATGAGTACATGCAAGGATTTGCCTGGGGAGCTCCTCCTCACGGTGGTGGTGGTATCGGTTTGGAGCGTATGCTGATGTTGCTGCTCTCTCTTGGTGACATTCGCCATGCCACTCTCTTCCCTCGCGATCCCAAGTCCCTCCCCGCAAAGCCCGTCGTCAAGCAACTCAGACATCCCGAAGCCAGCACATTGCACCCTCCGTGGGAAGGTCAAGACCGCCACGCTGCCGGCATGGAGCTTCCTTCCGTCGAGATGCTCATCGCCAACTACGGAGATGCTTCCAACACCTCTTGGCTCGAGCCTCGCACCGAGATCTGGAGAGACGACGCTACCGGTGCCGCCGTCGGTTTTGTGCCTCACCAAGGCTATGCCATCACCGTTGGTGACCCGCTTTGCCACAAGAGTCAGTACGCCCGTACTATTGCAGGATACTTGCACTACATCAAGAAAGAGCGTGGAATCAAGCCCCTGTGGCTGTTGTGTGGTGGTGACACTGAGGAAGTCCTGGCGTCGCACCAATTCGATTGGCGTACATTCTCAGTCGCTGCTGAGCAGCGTCTCGATCCTGGCAACAACCCGGCTGTGCACGATCACGACATCCAGCGTAAGATCCGCCACGCGAGCAAGGAAGGCGTCAAGGTGCACGATTACCCGCTCGGCACACCAGTACCGGCTGAGATCAAGCAAAAGATTGACGGCCGTGTCAAGGACTGGCTGGCCAACCGCAAGGGCAAGCAGGTCCATCTCACAGATGTTCACCCTTGGCAAGATGAGGCTCATCGTCAATACCACTACACTACCGACAAGGACGGCCAAATCGCTGGCTTCGTCATCATGGCCCAGCTGTCGCCCGACCATGGCTGGCAAGTCAAGTTCTCGCTTGATTTCCCCGGAGCACCCTCAGGTGCCATTGAGATGCTCGTTATGCACGCGCTTTCGCAATGTGCGGCCGGCGGTGCCACGTCGGTCACGTTCGGTGGTGGTGCCAGCTCCAAGCTGACTCCCGGTCACAACCTGAAGGGTACCCGTATCAAGGTTCTCAGCAAAGCCTACCATGCCATCGCCACTGAGCTCAAGCTCACGGCCAAGTCAGAGTTCAGAGAGAAGCTCGGTGCCCAGGATGACCCCATCTACGTGTGTTACCCACCACACGGCCTCGGACCTGGAGGTGTCAAGGCAATCTTGACCTTCTTCGAGGACACGGATGATGGCAACAACTAGAAGTATGGAGAGACAGGTATACACACTGCTCTTGATATTTGTTTTCCTCGCGATACAGTTGTACGATGGTCGGATAAGCAATATTCTGGATATGACATGGCAGCAACAGCGATACCACCCCCTTTTGTTTTTGATATTTCCTTGCGTCTCTCAATTCTCTGTCTTTAGTCGTTAAACCCGTTCACGAATTGATAGATGCACCGAACACTAATTAATGCTTTTACGTACACTTCAACCTTGTTTCCCTTTGTGTTCTGTCGATGTTTTGTGTATCTCTCACTTCCTTTGTTCTCTTTGTCTCTTTGCTTGAGACCGGCCTGAAGGTAAGTTATAAGAGCCAACGATATTTCCAGAGGATTGAGAAGATGGCAGGGAGTAGAGAAAGCTAACAATACACAGCATGCGATGATATGCCTATATGACAGAGCATAAACGTCACAGCAACCCGTCGGCGGACGGGAGTTTGTCGACGCCATGTGTGACCGGGCAAGAACAGCGACTGCTCGCTGCTTCCTCGACAGGCAAGACGAAGCTTCATTTTGTTATGACAAGCGTCCCGTCGTCCACTTCTTCCTCTTCACTTCCTTGCCATCACCATCCCCATCATCATTCATCTCGCATCTCCATCGATTACCCCCATTCATACACGTCTTATCCATCATGGTCTGCGGCACCACCTCAGCAGCTAGCGTCGGGCTGGTTACAATCCTCGTGCCCTCTCTCGTTATACCGTTCGTCCTTGCCAACGTGGTCGGCTGGACCATATTCGGAGTGCACAAGCACCGCAAACACAAGCGTCAACGTGAAGGCCGTGGTGCTGGCGATGGATCTGCAGCAGGAGCGGGCAATACTTTCGTCACGAGTACAGGACCGAGTGGAGAAACCGTGGTTTCTGTTGTGCCAGCCGGCGCTGCTGGTAGCGGTGGTAGTTCTGGTGGCAGCTACGGCGGTTCTGGCGGATCTGGAACTACAGGAGCGTCTTACACGACGGGTGGAGTGCCTGTTCAGAGACAGGAAGTGGTCTAGGCAGCAGGCGGTGCTCCAGGAGAGACAGTGATTGTCACTCCCGGCCCTCACTAAAGTACGTTTGTCACATGCCATCTCTCTCACTCTTTCAACGCGGCTTTCATCTCACTCTTGCCCCACCTTCCTTTCTCTTCTTCCAACACAAGCATGTCAACTTTCAGCTGGCGTCCACCATCTGTTCCCTTTGAGGCGCAGACGCGTGACGGTCTGCCTTTCACCGTCTGGCACGTCTGCTGCGTCTGCCAGCAACCACGATCTGCTCGTTTCCACGCCGAGCACTCTGTTGACACAAACTCTCCAGTCTTGCCGCCTCCTAGCATCTGTCGTCGTTGCGCATCTAAATCTCCTTCGTTGCCATTGCCTCTTTCGCTTCCACCTACACAGGCCTTGGTGCTGCAGATCTCAGCACCTCAGGCCCCAACACCCCAAGTCTCGACACCTCAGCCAGCATCACAAATCTCAGCACCTCAGGCTCCTGCCTCGCCCAGCCCACCACCTCAGCCAGACTTTCGAAACATTCCTTTCCGTCACGTCAAGCCCTTTGCCTCAGAGCCACAGCACGTTGAGCCTCCTCTTGTGCCTGCTTCACCTGTCAAACCTACCGAACCTTCCATCGCATCAATTCCAACAATCGAGATCATGTCTCCTCATGGTTCATCCTACAAGGAGTACCTTCTTGTCAAGAGGGCGAATGAGCGCACATCATCCAAGACCACATCAAGAGACTACTATCCTCCACCTGCTCAAGACTATCCACCACCTTCAAGAGACTATCCTGCTCCTCGTCAAAACTACTCAGTACCCGGAGAATATCCTCAGCCGCTGCGAGGTAGCCCCGTACCCTCCAGAGACTCCCGACCTCCAGCCAGACAGTATCCTGCGCACTCCAGAGACGTCTTTCCGCCCTTCCAGGACTACCCATCAACAGTCAGCAGCCGCCCAGAAGCATTCGAGGACCCACCTTTGTACAGAGATCCCCCTGCCCCAATTGCAAGCGTCAGACCAACCAAACGTCGTGTTTCTTTCTCCGAAGAGGACGAGGTTGCCACACTTCCGCCAGACTTGGCTTCTGGACGTGATGACCATTCCGTGCAAGGTCTTTCTCGGATGCGCTTGCAACCTCCCAACATCAATGGCGAGCCCTCCGTCCAGGACGACTATCAGTGCGAGAAACAACGCAACCGCACCTACATCGATCCTGCCGAAAGGCCTTACGTCCCAGAACCCAAGCGGACTCCTCTCAGCGAGTCTCCCGCACGTGAGCTTCCTCTCGTAGAAGAGTCTTACGCACATGGTCCTTATAGAGCAGAGAACTCACCTACACCAAGCATGCAAGTTCATGTTGACAAGGATGATTTCGTCTTGGACAAGGGCAGCGAACCTCGCAAAGCTCCTCGACAGTATGACCCTGGACCAGCAAATCAGAACGATCGTACATGGACGAGATACGTGACGGTCAAGGAATACAGGGATGAGAAGGGACCTTTTGTCGAAGTGGAGGAAAAGTTTGTTTTTGACGATGAGCGTTGATGCTGCATCGTACCCCCTTTTTGCTCCTACTATACACGCTCATGGTTCTTGCTAGCTTTAGCTACTGGTATGCTTGAATTGAAACTCGATTTTCCCTCTTATGTTCCGTACCGCTTGTCAGAAGCTATCTGTGTTATGGTATGGAGAGTGTCTCAACCATGCACTCTGAAGAAGTCCCAGTGAGTTTGTTGGTCTGGGAAACACGTTTCCAAGAAAGATATGAGACACCCGTCTGATCCAGAAAATTGACACAAAACCGCTCGTGAGGAATATATATTCTGTCCTGCCCTGCTCTGCTCTTTTGATCCAAGAGACTTTGTTTCGCAATGTTCGCTCTTTGACCAACCTTCTCACCAACACCTTCAAAAAAAAATAAAACCAAGAGTGATCATGTGCTCTAGTAATAGATCGTGGTTTGAGAAAACCCCATGTAAAGAAAAAAAAAACAAGAGAAGCGATCAATACAAAAGGTCAAGAAATGGAGAGAGAGAGAGAGAAAGAAAAAAGAATAAATTTATTGCCCTTTGCTCTTTTACCGCCATGTTGCCACATGTCGTTGGGTTTTGCCTTTTCGTTGCCTTTGCTTCTAACCACACAATTCATCGTTCTCTCCCCAATTCCTCTAGGTTGAAAAAAAGATAACAGTCATTCGTAGCTCTTCAGCTGCTCTTTTTTTGTTTTTTTCTCCCGCTGTGGCCCCCCGCGGATCTAGGAATACGACAATTGTTATTCTGAGCATTCCATTCATCCATGATTGTACAACAAGAGCAACCCCATTCTTTGAACGGAACAAAGCGTCAAAGCTTTCTTCTTTAATCTGAGAACGCCTTCCTATTTGCTTTTGTCTTTCAATCCTGCGATTCTTGCTCGACGAGCCACTCCATGACGCTCTCGTAGCACAGCACGAATTGCCTCAGACTCTGCACCATTGAGATTCTTTGCCTTCTGAACTCCTCTACCGTCTTCTCAATGAGGTCTTGGGTTTCGTCATTCACCCACTCGCCATCGACCTCATCGTGTTCTGATGACTGAGGCTGTTGTGAGCTTGCTGAGCCAGGAGCGCTGAAGAAAGGATCGTTGCTCGCGTCTTTCATTTGCACGGAGCTTCGTCGTGTATCGATGTGCATGGGTGAGGAGTCTCGTTGGCGACGCGAGATGCGTTGAGAGGCTCGTTGGCGCTTCAACATGTCGATGACGGAGGCGACGGTGCAGAAAGTTCCTGTGCGGCCACAGCCGGCTGAGCAGTGCACCACAATAGGCGCGGTCTCTGGTGGATCTGGCTCTGAGATGCTGGAGGAAGTGGTGCTGCGAACGACTGCATCGCATTGTTCCACCAATCCTAGCAGATGAGCGGGATGTGCAGGCGCTCCAAAGTCTGGCCATGAAGAGTATTGCAGTTGAGTGATTTCGCGCATCCGTTCGAACGGATACCCTTCATGTCTGAGCGCCAATTTGCGCACAATGACATACGGTTGATCGTCCTTTGCTCCAGCATTGCCATCGGCAGTGGTGTCCAGTCTAGCCAACGGAGCACCGTCAGTGGATTTTCTGCCGCCGACCGAAGGGCGCTGTTGTCTGTGTCTCTTGATCTTTGCAGGGTCGAGGGAAGCGCGTTTTTCGGAGAGGAATTCGAGGCGACACTGTCCGTATTGCTTGTCTGACCAGTAGTTGTGAGCTTTTACTTGGCCGCCTTCTTTTTCGGCGGTCAGCATGACGATGACGCGAGTTTCTTGTTGCCAGATTACGTTCCAGAAGTCCTGTTGGGCTTGAGTTAGCGAATTGCTTGATGACACGAAGGAGAGAGATGGAAACTCACAGCGAATGTAGCGGGAATGGGTCCTTGGGTGGCGATATACCGCTTATGCGATCGCTTGGAGGAAATGTAGTTGGCGTTGAAGTAGTCACAGCCGTGCGAAGGCACATCCTGTAGTTTGACGCGCGAATGCTCAAAAGGCCAGATGTTGTTGTATCTGTTCTTGGAGCCCTTTTCGATACCAGCGATCTGAATGGCAGATTTAGGCATGGACTGCGTGGGCGAGCCATACGAGACCTTTCCTGAAAGTGCTTCTTGCATGCGTTTCTGCTCTCTCTTCTCGATTTGCAAGAATTTATCAGATACGCGTGCGCCCTTATCTTTCTCGTCGGAAGCTGCTTGTAGCCAGGGAGGGAAGTGATCTTGTGCTTCTTTGGACAAGTGAGAGGGGCGCTTAATCTCCATCTGACCGACACCGCCGATGAGATCCATGTTTTGTCTGATGTTGCCGAAGAAGGGGTTGGCGGCGTTCTTCTCGGCGGGCATGGGACAACCTCCGATGACGGGTGCGATCTCAGGACCCGCCAAGTCCAGCTTCATCGACATGGGCCCACCAGCACGGCTTGGTGCGCCACCTGCTCTCTGAACATGCGAAGGGTGCTTCTTTGCGAATTCGGCAAAGCCGCCCTTGAGGATGTAGCACTTGCCCTCGACGCCTTCGCTGTCAAACTTCTTGATCGTGTTAACACAAGAAGCGGCGTCTTTGAGTTGGAACGAAGCCGAGTCGTAGACGATGATGTATTTGCTGCTTTTCCAGTTTTCAAACTTTTGGCGTTGATCAGGGTCGTCCTTGAAAGTCTCGGCAAGCTTGTTGACGTTGAAAGATGGACGTTTGAGAAGAGTGGTAGGAATGCACAAGTTGAGAGCACCACGGAGATGAGCACCGGCGTATTGTGTCGAGACACGCAGATCCAGTATCAAAATCTCCTCGGCAGCAGAGTCGAGCAGATTGCACAGATGCTGGGGGGTGATGAAGGAAGTCGAGTCGTTCAAGGGACCGGCCACGGGAACGGTCTCGGCTCTAGGCTTGAACTGGGGTTGAGAAGGGAGGTTGAGATTGAAAGGCATGTTGTTCAGCCTGGGCTGGCTGCTGGGGCGCTCAGAAGCATGGCGAAGGCCGTCTGGAAAAGACCCGTCGTTAGAAAGATGTCTTTTTGGAGAGCGGCCTAGGTACGCGGATTCGGGATCGAGATTTGAATTATTACCTGCACCTGAGATGGAGCCAGAGTGAGCTCTTCCACCCGACACTGAGCCCGAAGGGACGCGTCCACCCGAGATGGAGCCAGAGGGGGGGCGTCCGCCTGATATTGAGCCAGAAGGAGCACGACCCGTTGGAGGCATGTGCATCTGCATCGGCCTCAACTCGGTGGTAGCCTTTGGACTGGCCGAGATGTTGATGTTGTTGAAGAAGCTGTTGTTATTGGCGTTTGTTGTGTTGGGGCTGTTGTTGCCAGCAGAGGGCAAGGCAGGCTTCTTAAAGTCAAACTCATGCAGGGAGCCCAGACTGAAGCCAACACTCTCGGACTGGCGGCGGAAAGCATCGAAGTCGGGGTTCTGGTCGACAGGGATGACGGTGGGCGAGAAAGCAGCCGTCGACCTCACAGCTGACGAAGGTGGACTCCAGTTCTTCCTTGTATGGCGGTTTGATTCGGAATCGTAGGAATCGTCCTGGGCGGTGAAGCCAAAGTAGTTTGGACTGGGGGTGCGCACATGGCCGCGGTGAGGTTGTGGTGATTGAAGCAAGGGACCCATAGTGCGCGCGCTGGTCGACGGCGGACGGGCGCCGGGGGTTCTGGCGGCAGACATGGTGCTGCGTGTTGTGAGAGTGTGTGCCCGAGTGTGGCGCTGACGACGAGTGTCGGGTTTTCACGCAGACGGGCTGGGAGGCGTGTGTGGGCGAACGTGGACGGCGCGCAGGGCGAGGATGCTGGTGGGAGGAGTCGGGGCTAGGCGGCGACGGGATTGATATGCGCAGTAGCCATGTGTAAGAGTCTTGACGGGTGTCGTTGTCCACAGGCCCGGGTGGGTGCGTCAAAGGTGGGCCTCGAAAGACCCAGACCAACATGACGTATGTCATTTGTCCAAGCCCTCCCAATACCTAACACATGAACAACTTCACCCGTCCCAGCTAGACCACCCGCTTGCAGACAACCGACCAATTCCCCGACCATTCTCATGCCAGACCTCAACATCTATCAATCTCATTTCCTCTATCCTAGCTCATTCTTGCTCCAAGACTGCACCAAGATCCTCACCAATCCCAATCTCTAGACCCTGACATTTCGACTCGCCCCGAGAACAAAGAGAAGCCAGGAAAACCGGGTCCACGTGCCTCTTGCCCATCTTTTTCCTTTCCTTATCCAACCCAGACCCTTTTTCTCGTATTCCCGTCCCATTCGCCATCTCAATCGACAAGGAACTTACTCTATCCGTTCAAGCCATGCTCTACACAACACACAAACAGCTCGGCACTCCTCACTCTTTTACTGCTTGCTGCTTATCTAGATCTTCAAAAAAAGTCTCAATCGAACCGCTCTGGAGTCCCCTCAGGGCTGCTTGAGCTGCCAGACCCTTGCAATGCCCGACGCGCCAAGTCTCAAAAGCTGAACAATGTCCGAAATACCAATCAAACACATGACCTCGGAGGCTTACTCCATGTGTCTCGGATATTATTGCTTTGATATACGTCAATACCAAATGCTTGCCCCCC